GGGTGCTCCATGCATGCTTCAATTATCCAGCTCGTGATCAGCAAGATGCGCCGGTGTAGAGTGATCTGGCGCTGGCAGCACTTGTTGCAAGGCTCGAAGGCGTGTGAAGCGATGAGCATCGCGTCTACCATTTATGTTGCAGGCCCCCCCTGCCCACTGCTGCCAGTCTTCCTTGTGCTGAGCCGAATGGAGATCCCGCGCCAACTGCGCCAGCGCCACCACCTGGTCAGACTCCCGCCCAAGCTCGCCGTCGCTGAGACGCGAAATCCAACCGGCTCGCGGGAACTCGCGAGCCTCGTCATCCAGCGTGCGATGCGCAGAAGGGGTGCGATATACAATGAAGGACATTCTCCAGGTCATAGAAGAGCGCTCCCAGCTTCTCGGCGCGCGACTGCTTGAGCTTCCTGCGTGGCCCGACTCCGCTGCGGACTGCCGTGCTTCAAGGCTGCCGCCCTCGTCGCCCCGCCGGCGACGGCGCGCTCTCCCAACCGCGCGCCAGAGGCGCGCGGAGGGCCCGCGGGCGCCGCGGCATGCCCGCCCTGGGCGCCGCCGAACTCCCCGAAAAGCGGGCCAGAGCTCGTGCCAAGCACTGCAGGGCCCCTGCAGAGCATCCAGCATGCTCGGTAGAGCGGGACCCCCGAAGAGCGGGCCAGGTCCGCGCCCGAGCTCCCCGAGAAGCGGGCCAGAGCTCGTGCCAAGTACGGCGGGGCCCCCGAGGAGCGGGCCAGATCCTCGCCCGAGCTCCTCGAGAAGCGAGCCAGAGCTCGGGAGGGAGAGGGGGGAAAAGGAGAGACAGACCTTCGCGGGCGGGACCGCCTCAGACGCGGGAGGAAGTGCCCATATTCATCACTGGGCGCTCTGAGGTGACCGACGACGAGCGCGAGGGCCCCCTGGCGAGCCATTCGACAGGGCCCGTTCGGATGGGGACGCCTGGGCTAGAACGAACAACTATATCAACATGAACACCCAAATGTCCGCGACGAGCTTTGATAATGTTGGCTGGCCCTCCTTAGTTAGAAGAGGAAACAGGAGGGCGGAGGAAGATGGTGAGGGGGGGAGAGGGGCTCAACGAACGACCGCATCTTCTTGCGCGGCCGACTGACGGCCAATCGGAGCGCCTTCGCACTCGCGCCCCTCGCGAGAGCCTGGATCCGCCGACTCTCGAGGAACCTTGAACCCAAACACGCACCGCGCACCGCGCGCCGCCGCCCGATCTGCCGACCCTGCCACGGGGCCATGCACGAGCACCATCACAGGGCCAGCAGGAGGCTCTGGCCTGCCAGCGACGGCGCCCTCAGCTCGCGCGCCCTGGCCCCCAGGGCAGTTTACAATCTCTCGTATTCCGTCCGCGCCACCTCGGCGAGGCGCGCGTGCCCCAGGATGGCGCCATCGAGCGCAGCCACAGAGTCGGTGGCGCACTCCTCGTCGTCGTCCGCGCCCTCCTCCGTGTCGTCCTCGTCAACATCATTCATTCCGTCGTCCACGAAGGTCAGCTCCTCGTCGGCCTCCTCGCCCTCGCGGTCGCTGGAGTTGGAGTCCGCGCCCCGGCACATCTCCCGCTTCGCCTCGGGGCGGGGGGGGCAACATGTCCTTCGGGTCGACTGCGAAAGAAGGGCGATCGACGATGCCCTCCAGCTCCTTCTGCTTGCCCTCGAAGTCTTGTCCATCAAAGCGCACGCGAGCCAGTGGGAGTGTCCTGGACCGCCTTCTCGACATGCTCCTCGTCGCCGTCCTTGAACTGCACCTGCAGCTTCACCCGCCGTAGGGTGTTGTTCACCGTGAAGCAGTAGTTCTCGAGGCCGTTCTGCGGTTCGCGCTGGCGGTGGTTGGCGATGAAGCCGGCGAAGGGTACCTGCTGCAACTGAGTGCCGTCCGCGCCGTCGACCTCGCCCACCTCCTGCCCTGCTGCTTCGCCGCTACGTTCGGCTCGGCGACCTTCTTCACGGGGTTGTTCTCCTTGACTGCTCCCCTGCCCACGTCTACGGAGCACACCTGCCTCAAGGTGCTGTGGTCCACGGGGCCACCGTTCTCTTTGATCTTGACCGTGCCGTCAAACGAACCAACTTCGTGCTGCTGCACCGCCACCTTCCTCGCTGTGACCGTCTTTTCGGTGTCGCTCTTCTTGTCGACTCCCTTGCCCGCGTCCGCGGGTCGCACCAACCGAGAGATGTTGTGGTCCACGGGGTTGCCGTTCACCTCCATCTCGTCCATGCCGCACTGCACCTGCCGCATCTTGGTGCCGTCCTCGTCGTTGAAATGGCCCTCGTTCTGCTGGCCCCTGCTGTCCAGCATCCCGACGTGGGCCTCGTACTGCATCCGATGCGCCCCGCCCCTCGGCCCACTGGCCTGGGACTCCGCATGCAGCACTTCGTCGGAAGGTACGGGAAGCGCAACTTCCATCCAATTCTCGTCGTGGTGCGTCGCCACCACCTCCTCCCCCAGCATGTTGAGGCTCGCATCGTCCGAGATGCAGAAGTGCAGGGCCCCGCTCGGTTTGTCGGGCTGTTGTGTTTGCTGCTCCGCGTCGCTATCTGCTCCTGCTGTCGATTTCGCAGTCTCGAGGAGACCCGCGACCAACTGGTCCGTCGCGGTCATCGAGAAAATCTCTGCCGTGGGATCTGCGTGTCCTTGCCATCCATGCTAAGCCCGGTCTTACGGGTCGCGCAGACGCCAACCTCAAGCCGCAAGGGCCATGCCGCTGGCCCACATTAAACGCCGGGACCTGGGGGCCTCTCAAGCTCGGCTGAGCCCAGGTGGTTTGAGAGGAGGAGGAGAGGGAGAAAGGAGGGAGGATGGAGGAGAAGGAGGAGGGAGGAGGAAACATATAGGATACCGAGCATGAGAACGGAACCTATGCTGCTTCGGTTCAGTGACCTCGCCCTCCGCGAACGAGTCACCGAGAGGCCAGGATAACTACTGAGCTGAATCAATGCTAGCGTAACACACGGAAGCCCCTCGAAACAAGACATGCTGACCTCCCGTGTTGAGGAGCGATCAGCTGAGACTCGCTCAATGACGGCGAGAAGCCGCCCAAGGCCCGTTCACGGTGAGCAATATGCCGCTTCCTGGATGAGGTTGCCCACTCGTCAGTCGCCAGGGTCCTCGAAGTCCGCCGCCCAGGGCGGGCCCACTCGTGGAGACGAACGAGGGGGACTAGCTCGGTGGGGCAGCGATGACTTGGAATCGGCGATACACTGCTGATATATCGACAGTGGGCCCCCGAGTGTGCAACCGCATGTAGTTGGGCGGAGACGCGCGGCCCCGATCGGCGAGAAATGGGCGATCGGGGGTCGATGCTCCCCCTCATGTGGCAATCCCCTCTTGTCGGCTCCCCTGGTGTCCTCACGGTAATTATGATCAGGCCGACACTGCCTTGGGAACTCGAATCGGATCGTGTGTCGGATCGGGCCGCATCGGCACGGAAGCGGATTCGAATTGGATCGGCCGCGCCAAAATGCACAACGGAGTCACGTAAGCATCGGTCCCCATCGCATTCTCGGAACACTGGAATCGAATCGGATCGGGCTGTCCAACGTCGAGATCGAATCAGATCGAGTCGGATCGACATTGACCCTGTAGCGTGGCACATCGAAGCCCGTCGAGGTAAGAGTCCTGACACCCCGTGCCCTCACAGCGGCTCTCAATGGTCAGATCGCTGAACTGAAACACCATAGCCATCATTTGGGGAAACAATTTTGTCAAGACGTCGCCATGACCGAGGTCTTGACCCCGTCCCCGGGGCCAGCTTTTCACCGCGAGCCGTCTCTTGACTGCCACTGTTTTCGCATCCCGAGACGTTTCGAAACAATCCAGGGGCCTTGTAAGAGCCCCCTGAAATGTCCTGTCGCGTTTTTTCGTCCACGACGCGTAGATGTAGAGGAATCTCCTCGCCCGAGGGGCCCGAGGACGCCGAGCCCACAACGGGACCAGCGGCCACTTTCTGGAGGTCGCCCAAACAGATGCCGGTGCCGGAGCAAACAGGGCAGAAAGATCGCACTGCATCGCGGATGCATCGGCGATGCACCCGCGACGACAGGATCTGAAAAACTCGGACTTCGAATCGTGCCGCATCGCCACATGCGTCGGCGACTCTGCGCCATCCTCTGACCCCATCTGCCTGGACCACTCGGCGCCATCATGCGACCCTCGGACTACATTTTCGGCGAAATGAAAAGAGGCCTTCTGAGAAAGCGGCGGAGCATCTGAGACGCCCTCTGGCCTTCTTGGAGGCCGTCTGTCTTCGGAGAAGGCTCAGAAGCTTCTCAGGCTTTTGGGAGGGCCTGAGCGCCGCCGACATGTGGCCGTTCCCAGGCACTCCCCCCTCGGTCCAGCACGCGGAAGGCACTGCCTCGCCTCCCTGGCCACGGCTTGCTGTGCAAGCTCGCCCAAGACAAGTTGGCGCGTACAGCCGCCTCCGCGCGGGGTCCCAGGCATCCTCCCATATGTTTCCACCAAGCCCTTCCTCCGGAGTATCGTTGTTGGCCCCAGATCCATGTTTGATGGTCCCGGGGGCCGATAACGGGCCCCAAAGCCGAAATCGAGGAAAACACCGCTGGTTGTGACAATCAGGTCGTCGGAGGTGAAACGGCTCCTGGGGGGAAACATCGACCTGGTTACATCGCCGATAAATCCCCCCGATGGCCAATCCGCATGGCCCTGGGCGGGGTGGACAATCGGGCCCCTATCGGCGATGAATGATTGGGGGTCGATGCTTCCCCCTCTGAGCCAATTCCCTCCCGCACGTTGCCCCCTTGCTTTGGGGACATAGCTCGGCTCTCTGGCGGCCGTTCGGGGAAATCTGGGCACTCCCAGAATGCTCTCGGCAAGGCGCAGCTGCTGGAGAGCACCCCGAGGCTGGAAACCCGCCGCGAACCGCCGAAGACGAATGCAAACCTAAGAGACGTCGCACCAGACACACCTCGAACCTCGAACCCCCCCGTGAGCCTCTATCCGCCCCTGACGCTGCTCCCTCCCGCCGACTCCTCGAGGGGGGCGGGCTCCTGGACGCGCCCGGCGATGATTGCGCGCGCCTGGCGGGGGGGCCGCGCGGCCGGCGGGGGCAGCGCCGCTGGCGTCGGCGAGGGCGGTGGCGACGAGGGCAGCAGCGCAGCGTGACGGAGGCAACTTCTGGGAGGTCTCCGTCAAGCCGAGGAAGGGCGATGAAGCCCGACGGGAGGGCCATTAGAAGCCGGGTCGGGCCGGATTGAGCCGAAGGTTCGGCCAGATTAAGCGGGATCAGGCCAGACTGGGCGGGAGTGGGCCGGATTAGGCGGGATTCAGCCAGATTAGCCTGGTTCTCGACGAAAGATATGCCAACACGGCAGCGCCGGCGAGGACGGCGAGGGGGACGGCGAGGACAAGAGGGGCGAATCAAGGATCTGTCCATAATCACCGCATGGGGGATCCGTCATCGGGGACCTCGGCAGGCGGTAGACATAGACATGTTTGCCCCCCCCCCCTGGGCCCGAACATATCCATATCCACCGCCGAGGTCCCCGAAGCTCGATCCCCAGAGGGTGGCTGTGGTGGATCAATGCCCGCGTCGGAGAGGGGGGCGGTGAGGACGAGGGCGGCGGCAGTAGCGCCGACGGCGAGGGCGGCGACAAAGACGGCAGCGGGTCCGCAGACAGCGGGCGCCTCGGACAAACTTCGAGGCGGCCGGATGTTCGTTGGCTTCGCCAAGGGCTATGAAGGGACGCGTGGATATTTTTTCCTTCTCAAATTTCATTTTAGTGGTCTCGCGCCGAACAGCGACAGATCTTATTGAACTGATCTGCTCAACAAAAAAACAAACGCGCGCAAAATCCACTGCGGATGCCCTCAGAGGAAAACGAACAATGGAACGCTGCATAAGCGGCGCCGGCGCCCCGCCCGCAATTCAACTGCAGACAAAACCACAAATGATCAGCCCGCCGGAAAGTTCACGAGCATTGCGGCGGGGGCGGTCATACATCGAGCGAGGGCAGCGGAATTATAGCCGTCTGATGGAGCTCAGCCAAGGGCTACAAACATACAACCGCAAACTGGAGGCAAAGAAACAAGAGCAGTGCGAAAGGAGGTCACTGCGAAACCAGACAGATGTCTCCAGGAAGGGGAATGCCTGCCAACGCGCCGCTTGCACTTGTTAATCATGCTGGCCCGCGGTAAACCCCAGCGGCAACGCCCAGGCGCCAACAATAACACCTAGACGCCCGGTGAAGTCATTGACGCGTTGCTCAAATCCTCGCGAGCCAATCCATGAACAACCACAAGGCGAGTCGCCCTGATCAAGGCCGGGTAATCGGGCAAGCGGCGAGAATAGCGAGCCGCATCCGTATTCGCGGATGATGAGGTGCAGGAAGCGGAGCAAAGGTGAGGAGGGCGGAAAATGAAAAGCATAATGAACACGGTGAAAAGAGGGAGCATGGCGATAGGAAGGACTGGAAACGTGCAAGAGCATGAGCAGGTAGGAACACGGAAGAGGAGCTCGGAGGGGGTAGGAAGAAGCACAGGAAGCCTGAGGGAGGCAAAAGGCGCACCAGTGATCCGCGCGGAACGCGCGTGCGCCGCGCGCCCTCACCAGCGAGGGTGTAGGACGAGGTGGGAGGATCAAGGAGCAGGAGGAAGTAGGAGGAAATAGGAGGGGCAAGAACACGCAGAAGAAAGCATTTGCAGACTCGAATCCCAAGCAAGTTGCGCTAAGCATGAAAGCGAAGTGAAGCAACAGGCAGCGCCAGAAAAACATGATGGACCCACGAACCCGGAAAGGGATATAGACATGTGCAGCATGGTCACGTTTTCGCGATATCCAACTGGGCGACACCTCACGAAACATCCCACGAGACACACCGCGAAACATCCCAAGAGACACCTCACGAAACAACCCACGAGACACCTCACGAAACATTCCACGGGACACCCCGTGAAACATTCCACGATACACCCCACGAACAGGCAACCACTCAACCAGAAACGACGAAACATTCCACGGGGGTGCGACTGGGTGTGGTCGTGTTGGGGTGTGGTCGTGCTGGAGTATGGTCGTGTTGGGGTGTGGTCGAGCTGGGGTGTGGTCGTGCTGGGGGGTGGTCGTGCTGGGGGGTGGTCGTGCTAGGGGGGTGGTCGTGCTGGGGGGTGGTCGTGCTGGGGCGTGGTCGTGCTGGGGCGTGGTCGTGCTGGGGCGTGGTCGTGCTGGGGTGTGGTCGTGATGTGGCGAGGTCGTGCTGGGGTGCGGTCGTGCTGGGGTGTGGTCTTGCTGGGGTGGGGTCGTGCTGGGGTGTGGTCGTGCTGGGGTGAGGTCGTGCTGGGGGGTGGTCGTGCTGTGGTGGGGTCGTGCTGGGGTGGGGTCGTCGTGCTGGGGTGTGGTCGTGCTGGGGTGTGGTCGTGCTGGGGTGTGGTCGTGCTGGGGTGTGGTCGTGCTGGGGTGTGGTCGTGCTGGGGTGTGGTCGTGCTGGGGCGTGGTCGTGCTGGGGTGGGGTCGTGCTGGGGTGGGGGCGTGCTGGGGTGTGGTCGTGCTGGGGTGGTCCGCGCCCTGTGATTTATCGATCGGGTCGTGCTGGGGTGTGGTCGTGCTGGGGTGTGGTCGTGCTGGGGTGTGGTCGTGCTGGGGTGTGGTCGTGCGTGGGGTGTGGTCGTGCGTGGTCGTGCTGGGGCGTGGTCGTGCTGGGGCGTGGTCGTGCTGGGGTGTGGTCATGCTGGGTGTGGTCGTGCTGAGGTGGCCCGCACCCTGTGATTTATCGATCGGGATTTCAAAAACAAGCGTTTCGCCTGAGACATCCTCAAATTTTAATCCGCCGGCCTCCTTCGACCTCGATATTTATCAGGGAAAGAATCCGCCGGCCTCCTTCAAGTTGGCCACGGGGGGATATGTTTACATAGGAAAAGAGAACCCTGGGCCTATGCCCTTTCCGGGAAAAAACGAGGACAACCGCTACATTAGGGAAGAGAAAAAGGCGCAGGAGTAATTAATCGGAAGATGCGCAGGAACGGGAAGGGAGCAGAAAAGGGAGGAGGTCACAGAAGAGGGACGAGGAGGAGGAGGAGGACAAGGAAGGGAAAGATAAAGGATTGAGAGGAAAAAACACGCTGACGACGACGGGCATCAATCATCGAGGATCTCGAGCCATTCGCTTTAGGTGCCTGCGGGACGCACCATCAACGTCGTCGTATCGGTGCCGCCGCGGCGCTCTCTTAGGGCAATTCTGGCTGCCTTTGGCGGCTGTCTTGGAGCCCCTTGGGGCCCTCTTCGGGTCGTTTCGGGGATCTCCTGGGCCCCTCTTGGAAGCCTTGGGGGTCCTCCTGGGGCCATCTTGAAGCCGTCGGTCAAAGAAGTGGGGCCCTAGCAACGCCCCATTCCTTCTCGAGCCCCCCAGTCGCCAAATGCGGCCCTCTTGCGACGCCCATGAAGCGTTTTGGGCCGCTCTTTGGTGCTCTTGGAGCCGACTTGGGCCCTGATGGCCCCCTCTCGAAGCAAGTTCAAACCAACTCGCAGCCATCTCGAGGCCTCTAGAAACTACGGAAAGCAAAAAGGCGAGAAGGAAACAATTGAAGCGCACAGTGCTTGTAAAGGAGTTGAACCTGTTGGAAGCCTCCTTCAAGAGCTCGAAAGACAATTGTGGGCTGTCACGAAGCGGTCTTGAGGGGGCTTGGAGGCGCATTGGAAGCAAAATTGCACCATCTGCAAGTATATGGAGCGATCTCGGAATCCTTCTTGGGTTGCCTGCGGTTCCTTTGGAGCCATCTTCGGCCATTTCGGGCGCTCCACCGCCCCGCGGCCACTCTCTGTCCACGCCCGGGGACGAGAGGGCAGGGGGGGGGCCCCCGTCCCTGCCAGGGAGAAGCGCGCGGATAAGCTAGCCCGTTAAACCACCACCCACGCCCTGCATGGCTGGTGGGATTTTTCCACGGCCGCCTGGGAATACTACCCCGGATTCTCGAGTGAATTCTGCCCGGATTTTTCCAAATCCAAATGTGAATTTGCCCCGGAAACCGCGTGAATTTTTCCGGGTGCCCTCCGGATTTTTCCGCGCGTGTTTTTTTCGATGCGCGCGCCCACGGAAAAATCCACCAAGAATTCGGAGAGGTATTCAAAACGAGTTTTTGTTTTTCTCCCCGCAGTTTTCACTAGGCCGCGCGCGGAGCCTGGAAGGAGGGATGGGGGGGGGGGAAAGTAGCCAGGAGCGGGGGGGCACGCCGCAGGAGAGGGCCGGAGGGAGACAGGAATCCCAGCACCCCTTTAAGCGTGAGCGGCGTGACGAAGTAATTCATCCAAGCCCACTCTTCCCCTTCATGGACACGGTTCCCCATTTCCCCGCCCAATCCTTCATGCGCGGGAAGGTAGCCGCGGGTCGTTGGAGCGCCCAATACGGCCCAGAATGTATCCGAGATGGCTGCAAGGAGCCCAGATGCGCCTCCAATGTCGCTCAATGCATCCCAGGACGATTCCGAATAGCCTCCAACATGCCTCTGAGAGTCGCCAAGACCGCTTCAAGACGGCCCCGCGTGCCCTTCGAGCTCTCCAAGGAAGCCTCCAAGACAACATGATGGACCCACGAACCCGGAAAGGGATATAGACATGTGCAGCATGGTCACGTTTTCACGATATCCAACTGGGCGACACCTCACGAAACATCCCACGACACACCCCGCGAAACATCCCAGGAGACACCTCACGAAACAACCCACGAGACACCTCACGAAACATTCCACGAGACACCCCGTGAAACATTCCACGAGACACCCCACGAACAGGCAACCACTCAACCAGACACCCCACGAAACATTCCACGGGGGTGCGACTGGGTGTGGTCGTGCTGGGGTGTGGTCGTGCTGGAGTATGGTCGTGTTGGGGTGTGGTCGTGCTGGGGTGTGGTCGTGCTGGGGTGTGGTCGTGCTGGGGGGTGGTCGTGCTGGGGGGTGGTCGTGCTGGGGGTGGTCGTGCTGGGGCGTGGTCGTGCTGGGGCGTGGTCGTGCTGGGGCGTGGTCGTGCTGGGGTGTGGTCGTGCTGTGGTGAGGTCGTGCTGGGGTGTGGTCGTGCTGGGGTGTGGTCTTGCTGGGGTGGGGTCGTGCTGGGGTGGGGTCGTGCTGGGGTGTGGTCGTGCTGGGTTGTGGTCGTGCTGGGGTGGGGTCGTGGGGTGGGGTCGTGCTGGGGTGTGGTCGTGCTGGGGTGTGGTCGTGCTGGGGTGTGGTCGTGCTGGTCGTGCTGGGGTGTGGTCGTGCTGGGGCGTGGTCGTGCTGGGGTGGGGTCGTGCTGGGGTGGGGTCGTGCTGGGGTGTGGTCGTGCTGGGGTGGTCCGCACCCTGTGATTTATCGATCGGGTCGTGCTGGGGTGTGGTCGTGCTGGGGTGTGGTCGTGCTGGGGTGTGGTCGTGCTGGGGTGTGGTCGCGCTGGGGTGTGGTCGTGCTGGGGCGTGGTCATGCTGGGGCGTGGTCGTGCTGGGGCGTGGTCGTGCTGGGATGTGGTCGTGCTGAAGTGGCCCGCGCCCTGTGATTTATCGATCGGAATTTCAAAAACAAGCGTTTCGCCTGAGACATCCTCAAATGTTGATCCGCCGGCCTCATTCGACCTCGATATTTATCAGGGAAAGAATCCGCCGGCCTCGTTCAAGTTGGGCACGGGGGGATGTGTTTACATAGGAAAAGAGAACCCTGGGCCTATGCCCCTTCCGGGAAGAAAAAAATGGAAACCATCGCGTGCTCTGTGTTATGTCTCGTCGCCTTTTCGTTTTCCATGGGCTCTTGAGGCCCCGAGATGGCCGCGCTGGCCTGAGATGGCCCTCCAGAAGAACCCGACAGGCCCCAAGACGGCGCCGAGAGCGCTCAAGAGCAGCCGAAAAACGTCCCAAGAGAGCGCCAAGAGGCGACGTGGGCGGCTCCAGAGAGGGGACGCTGCAAGGACCCCCCCCCGTACTCTTTGACTGACGGCGTTTCCAAGATGGCTCCGAGAGGGCCCCCAAGGCCTCCAAGACGGGCCCACGAGACCCCGAAGAGGATCCCAAGGAGGCCCGAAACAGCCTCAAGAGGACCCCGTAGGCTCTCCCAAAATGGCCCCAAATTAGCTCCACAATGGCCCGCAAATCACCCCGAGGGGCTTCTAACAAGAGCCGCGTGCGAAAAACAAACAAAATCCTCCATGATTGATTCTGGCCGTCGTCGTGACTTTTTCTCTCCCATCCTTCCTTTTCCTACTCCTCGTCCTCAGCCCGCCCCTCCTCCGTTTCCTCGTCATCCTCCTCCTTGTCCTCCTTCCCCGCTGCTGTTAATCCTCCGGTTCCTCCTGCGCCGCCCTCACGTTTCTAACGTAAACAGCGTCGCCCTCTTGGTTGAGCACCATGCTGGCACACGTTTCTGATCAACGCAGTTTGCCTGGGCACCGTCTCTGGAACTGCTTCGCCCTGAGTGTTATTACCCCCGTGTCCTCCTACCTCTCCCATGCCCCTCCCACCTCCCCATCTGGCACATTCCTACATCCTCGTTTACGAAAGGATGCGGCGCACTGGTGTTCTGCGCGGATCACCAACGCGGCTGCTACCTCCCCCTGGCCCCTCGTAACCCTCCCCCCCCCCTCAGGTCCCTCATCATCCTTCCGACCTTTTCATGCTCTAGCATGTTGCTGTTTCCTCCAGCACGCGCCCATCCTTTTGCTGTTCCTCTTCTTTCGTTACTACTGGTCCTTCGCCACCATATTTGTTCCCCCGCTTCCTCCACCTCCTCTTCCTCCCCCCGGACAGAACCAGTGAAAACGCATTCGGTTCGCTGCGGCGCCGCATGCTGCTGCGCATGCTGATCGAGGCAACTCGCCCGGTGATTGCTTTTGCCTTTGCTGGCGGAAATACGCGAGGCGTCGGAAATGAAGGCAAAAAGGCGGATGAACAGTAGAATCTCGCGGACCACGGCCGAAACGCGTCAGAACATATGTGAGGAGACAGGTATGTAAGTTGTTTTGGACCCCTACTAAGCCTGTCTTGGGACCCTAGGGCCTGCTTGCAATCCTTCTCGGGACCTGCTGGACTCTCCTCGAGCTCGCTTGCAGCTTTCCCGGCGCCCTGTTGGATCCTGCCGCAGGCCCTGACAAAAGAAGATGACAGCGGGAGGGAAATGAAGAGAAAAACAATGCAGGCAAGAGGAATAAGATAAATGAATACGATGAGGAAGAATCAAGGGCATGGAAGACATTCGAAATTCGCTGGCCACGCGGCATTCGCACGAACGCCCGAGCCACATGATCGATTGACGTGCGCATATCAGAAAAAAAGGAAAATAAAAATGAAAAACGAAAACGCAAATCCACGCTGAATTCACTCTTAGCACCGGCGAAACCAAATGTTCGCTGTATTCGGCCTATGAGGACAGCTCGGGGCGAGAAGTCTGCCCTGGGGGAGGGAACGAGAGGCCCGGAAACCACGCATCGGAACACTCGAAGCGTCAAATCTGTGGGTCCAGGTTCCTGGCGCTCTCCCGCAATGCCGGCTGTTCACCGCGAGTCGATTATTGGCGGTCCTGGGGAGCCCAGGGAGGGCCCCTGGAAGAGGCCGGGAGTGCTGAAGACACCTCCAAGATCCTTTTTCCCTTCATGATGAGATTAGAAGGACGAGGTCGTGGGCGCGCAAAAATGGATTAGCGATCCATGGATTTGGCGCGCGGTCGCCAAATCCATGGATCGGGGAGGTGCCCTCCGCAAAATGCGGTCGTTGCCGCCTCGCGCGGCGGCGAAAATCCGCGATTTCCCATGGAAGCGGGACCTGTCGCTAATCCACGCCCCCTTAATCCATATATGCGATCGCCTGACGAGGAAGGTGAGGACAACAATGATGGCCTCCGTGATGGCCGAGAGCTCGTCCGCGCGCATCTGCGAGCGCTGGTCCCAGTCGTGGGCCCTAGCCTCGCATCGCTCGGTGAGGTCCTTCAAGTAGAGCTTGTCGTCCTGCGCTGGCCGCTCGGGTTGCAAGGCCGTGCACGGCGACAGTACAAGCGAAAACCAATCGAATCGATAACGAAACCGAAACCGACCGACAGCGATAGACCGCAGGCAACCTAGACGAGGGCAGCGACGCAACAACGCCATAACGACCGACCAAACCGAACCGACCGAACGCAACTAACTATAACGCAACCGAACCGATCGAACCGCGGACACCCTTGCTCCCCCTCATCCTCTCGATTGCGAGCGGGCAACGAGTGTAATCGGCTCAACAGAGATCCGCGGCTTATCCGCTCGCTCCTTCTCCCCATCATCATGTTCCCAGTTTTTGTGGGGTCTTCCCCACCCTCGCCTTTCGTCGCCACGGCTGGACGCAGCGCAAACAACTTGCCAGGATGGACGTCGGTATTCATTTAGAACAAATGTTGGTTGGTCGAGTGCGGGGCGAATGCGTCGGCCTCCTAATCAGGATTCAAAAAGGTGTTTGCGGCGGCGATGTTTTACAGCTGACGACAGAGGCCAACGAATGCAATTTACCTCCCTCGGTGTGTGCCAGTAAACAGCACGGCCAGTTCTGACGTTGTTGGCAAACTGGAATCCAGCATGTATGCACCAAACGCCCGGCGGGTGGCACCAAAGAGTTCACCGACAACGACACGAAAGAACAACGCAATCCCGATACTTGCAGTCGGGCCAACGAACATACGAAACCTGTTCACGACACGACCCTCAGGGCGAACATTTAATGGAATCAAAACCCTGTCCATGGCGCCGCAAGCAATCGTGATGTACAAACCAGGAATATCGTCGGGCGAATGTCTGAAGCCTAGCAGCAGAAATTGCGCTGCATAGAAATGTGAACAGCCGAAGATTGTTTGTGTAATCGTGCAACCAGGCTGCATAAACGCTTGCTCTGGAAACCAATGAGGTATGACCGATCCAGATGCAGTGTATTCCTGTGGGTTGACAAAAACTTCCACATTTGCAAGACGAATGGGCTGCTTATCGCAGTCATCAAAATACCACCGAGCACGCGTTCCGCTCGTCAATGCAAGCTGCCAGAACTGGGTGAAACCCTAACCCAGCCCAATCTGTGTACAATGCCTCGGAATCGTCTGCGTCATCAGGTGAGAGGCGGGCAATGGAGAATGCAGGTTCCACCCAAGATGTCACCATCAGACGGCACGGGGTTACCGATGGCCCTGCAGGATCCAATGCTGAGATGAAATTCCAACGGGGGATGCGCAGTTCTTGAGCGTACTTTCCAGCGATGCCACATACGTGGGCACCAAGAGAATGGCCAATGCACCACGTTTTGACCGCAGTCCCAAAGACAGTATGCATAGCAGCAAGCAGCCGAGCAATATAGAGTGCCACAACCCTGGTGGATGACATAGCCCTCGAATATTGCAAACACTTAGATGCACCTTTGCCCCATCCAACGACGATTGCCAATTCCTTGACTGTTTAACCATCATCGAAGCTGCCAATGCAGGCCAAGAGCTTGCATCTGTGGAACCATTGCCGATAGTATCGCCAAACCCGTGCACGATGACAGACACCCGCCATATCGAAGCCTCCTTAGCTGCATTCGTCAACATCTGCTCCAGCGCATCCTGCAAGCGAAAAGCCCCGAGATGCGGCCAGTCGGCATAAGGATCGACGTCTTCAAAAACCGCATTGCGCACATACCCTGCCTTGAAAACCCTGAAGTGCACACCAATGTTGATGGGCCGACTTTCCACCATCACTACCATAGGTATGAGAGGGAGGAGAAATTATGAGGCGGCGGACCTCCCCATCCTCCCTTGTCTCTCGTCCTACCTGTGGTAGTGGAGGTGGAACATTGGCCCATCAGATGTCTCCATTCACCAGAGGTCTGTCGCCCCATGGACTGGCGGCGTGCCGAGGGGGGAAAAGAGGGGCTGGCCTCCCCGGCAAACGGCGGGGCTCCCCACGAGACCTTCCAGAAGCCCCCAGGCCTTCTGACACGCCTCAGGCTCAGAGGCCTTCCCAGAAAGGCCAGAGGCCTTCCATGCCTTCCAAGAAAACCTGCGCCCTCTGCATTCCCGCCGGGGCGCGCCGCCGAATGGAGCTCCGAACTCGGTAGCGCCGAATGCGTGCTCCAGCACCGAATCGTATGCTGCAACAGCGCCACCCAGTGCACCCAATGGCATGTTCCAAGCACACGTGAGCCTGAGCCACAACGACATGAGCCAAGATGGCTACGGCCATCGTATTCGGCGATGTTTGGCGATCAGTATGGCGAGAAGGGTGTGATGATATGATCGGGTCGGGGTCAATTCCAGAAATGCTGGAATATCTTTCGGTGCTCGTGTCTGCAGACCGTGTGGAGCACGTTAGGAAATGAACCAGATCCTGGAAATCTTGGGACGTACCATTCTCATGACGTCTTGCTCCTCTTATTATTGACCATCGTTTGTCGAGAAAACTCCAGCATAATACAACTAAGAAACACTGCCGCACTCTATGTTTTCCCTGATCCCCCCCAAAGCGGCAACTCATGGGAGCCTCCCATACCATCATGTTGGCCCTTGCGAGTCGACGCGAATGGACTCGAATCGACGATAGTCGACGGTCATCGACGCTACATCGACGCCAATCGACGACAATCGGCGCTACATTGGCGCTATCCCATCGATGACCCGACGCTCATCGACGCTAGTGCACTCTAATATCGGAATGACGAGGCTATACAAGGCGCTCATGATTTGCTACGGAAGAAAGGGGATGCGTAATAAAGATACCTTTTACGCTGCTCATAGTAAGCGCTGGACCCTCCAGCGCCGCAACGCGCCAGGGGGGGGGCGGGGTCCAGCGCAGATCCAGGAAATCCGCACGGGCCTCCGAACATTCATGTCTATGCGATGATTGGCTTCTTCGCTCGGTCCCCCTGTAGCCTGCCGAAAAGGTGCCTGGCGCGCTGGGTCAAAATACAAAGGGCTGCTGAAAAGAAGGGGCGCTAACTACGGAGCGAAGCTCTTTTTTTGGCGCAAGCAGCGCCTGGGTGCACGAGCAGGGCCAGAGGAACAAACACTGAATGACCTGAGAAACAGCGAACACCGTCTGAACCCAAAGCGGTCCTGATTTCAAAGTCTTGACTGTATATCCTTGGCCCGTCTGCGAGATTCCCACCAGCTCTCGACTCGTTCCGCCGCACGCGTCAAGCGCCAAGAAGAACGCAAACCACGCCTCTCCGGCGTCTAATATGGGACCATAAGCACATCGCGCTACAATGAAGAACGCTGCAGAAGGAACAAACTGTTCTTTCTGGCCACCGCAAGCTTCGGCCAAAGCATCAGCTCCCCGACCTGAATATAAGGAACGGCCCGAAACCAGAGCCCTTCCTGATGTTCAGCGTCTTGACATAATCGCTTCCACAATGCCCCAAGAAGGCTCCAAATGGTCCACAACAAAGCGCCACGGCGGCGACGCCGCTGGCCCGCTGGCACCCTCCAGGGGAGAGGACCAAAACAAGGCTCGCCATCATATTAAGCGAATGCGATTCCCTGAGACCCCAATGGGCCAACTCTTGGGACCCTCTTGGCGTCCTCTTAACAAAATCTCTTGGGGCCCTCTTGATCCGTCATAAAAGGGGCTCGTGGGCCGATTTGGGGTCATCTTGGACCGTCTTGCGGCCTTTTGGGACGTCTTGGGGCGATCGGGGAGGTCCCCCTTGGGGCCGTCTTAGGCTGTCGGCAGCTCGAAAAAGCAAGAACGCTAAATCCAACAAAAAAACATTGAGAAATCTACTTTTGCCTCGTGAAGGGTCCCTCGGGGGTGCTGAGAAGGGCTCTCCTGGAGGCCTCTTGGCTTGTTCTCAGGCCATACGAGGGCAACCTTAGAGCGCTGTAGAGCCGTCTTGAACAAACCTTGGTGGTCTTGAGGGACTCTTGGCGCTGGCTTGAGGCAGTCTGCAGCGGTCTTCGCCCATCGCAGGGCTGAGAGAGCACCTGGAGTCGTGAGCAGGGCTCGCCAGCCCCCTGGGTGTCGAAAGTGAGTGCCGGGGAGGGTGAACTGTTGGAAAAGTGTGCGGCCCGTGGGCCTAGGGGCCCTGATGCCAATTATAGTATACGTATGTCAGGAATCCTGAACTTCTGCGCGTGCAAACACTTCCTCATCATCAACACCACTGTCATCACCGTCAAGCGCAAGAAGCCGTGAGTCGTCAGCACAATCATCAGCTGGACGCTATCATCATCTTTATCATCAGGGTCGTTGACGTCGTCTTCGTCATCATGGCCACCACCATCGCCATCATCGTAGGCGTCGCCGATGGCGTCACCACCATCGTCACTCCCAGGCCCGAGTCATGGATCTTCAAAAGCAGGGTCCTCGCATCTGCGCCTGCTGAGATCTGCGAGCATGTTTCGATGAATATCGCCACTCACATTGCGGGTGGGTGGGTAGGATGGTTGCTCGAGTATGGAAGGTGCTGACGCCGCGATGCAGGCGTGGTCACACCCGGATGCAGGCTGAAGTGCACAACAAATAATACACATGGGGAGGGCAAAAGCCAACTGTTTGGGAGTCGACGCTGACAAAACAATTTCCTTATGTCTTTCAATTATGTGATCAATTTCGCCTTGTTGGGCTCCGGGTAACCCAAGCCAGCCAGGCCCCCAAGACCGCTCGAAAACAACCCGAAGGCCCGCAATACGTTCCCAAGACAGCCCGAGAGGGCCCAAGACCTATGAGACCTCGAATTCGACCATGAAAGGTTCCACGAGGGCCTCAAAACGGCCCCAGAGCGGTTCCCGAAGGCCTCCGAAGGCACCTCGTTTCCCCAACGGCTGGGGGAACATGCAGTCCACTAGCGTGGCCGCACTTTCGCTCGACATGTCAGGACACAATCGCTTCCAACAAAAATAGGGCGGCGGTGACTTGCCGTAGGCGTCTACGATGCTCCAAGGTGGCCTTCAAGATGGCTCAAGACAACCGAGGATGGTTCAAGATGGCCTCCATCGTGCCTCCAAGATGCCCCAAAATGGTTTCAAATGCTCTCGGAACCCTCCATGGAGCCACCAATGAGGACAACATCCTTCAAACACATCAGAGTGAGGGGGCCGAACGGTCATTCACTGTCCCTGGGTGCGTGGCTGAAATGGGATTCCGCGGTGCGGATTCGTGTTGTTGTTATTGTTGTTTATTGTTGTTGTTTGTTGTTGTTTGTTGTTGTTGTTGTTGTTGTTGTTGTTGTTGGTTGTTGGTTGTTGTTGTTGTTGTTGAATACTATTACTTCTAAAGAATAATTATTGTTGGGCCCCCTGGTGCACGCCCCCCCTGCGCCGCCTAGGCCGCAGCTACATTTTCATCATTTTCGTGAGGAAGCCTCAGGTAAAACGATGTGATCCAGATCCGGTTGTTTTGTTGTAATCCGTTTTCCCTTGCAAAAAACACTATAAAATGACATTTCTTGTTCTAATATAATCAAATTTCAAGAATCCCTTGCAAAAAATAAGGTAAAGTGGACATTCGCGCGCGCAAGACGAAATCCTTCCAAAAGCTTAGTGTTCGCAGCGATTTTAACATAAAAACATCAAAAAACCAATGGTTTTTCAAAAAAAAATGTCAAAATCTCATCCCGCGCGCTCTTGCGGATTCGTAGGAAACCCAACACTTTTTAAACATTTCTGTCAAACGGGCTTTTGCGAGCAACTTTTTCGAACTTCTGCAACAACGGTTGCGCACCTGCCAGGGCCATCATCCCTGTCAAATAATACCATGCGGGACACATTCGTTTTTTCTTCGCGCGCGCACGCCGTCGTCGTCGGCCGCGGGGCCCTGAATAGTAGCCACGGTCGTCCGCATGCCACGAAGTGAAGTGTCCGAACGTCATAGGGCGGGAAGCTGGGTGTGGGTGGTGGCGAAGAGTCGTTTGGAAATTTGGTAGAGCTTGAACCGGCCCCCCCACAAAGTGGGGGTATTGCCCGCCTCCTATGAAAACCCTGGCACTGGTGAGAACGGAGTGTCCCCACGTGCTAGTAATTGTTGTTGTTGTTGTTGTTGTTGTTGTTGTTGTTGTTGTTGTTGTTGTTGTTGTTGTTGTTTGTTGTCGCCGTCCCGACCCCCGCCCCGCGACCCACCCGCGACCCACCCCGCGACCCACCCCGCGACCCACCCGCGACCCACCACCCCGCGACCCACCCGCGACCCACCCCGCGACCCACCCCGCGACCCACCCGCGACCCACCCGCGACCCACCCGCGACCCACCCGCGACCCACCCCGCGACCCACCCCGCGACCCACCCCGCGCGACCCACCCGCGACCCACCCGACCCGCCCGCGACCCACCCCCGACTCACCCGCGACCCACCCGCGACCCACCCGCGACCCACCCGCGACCCACCCGCGACCCACCCCGCGACCCACCCGCGACCCACCCGCGACCCAAACCACGTTCAAGGTACAAACCAACATTTTCGGCGCCTGCGGCGGGCTTTTTTTGCATTCTTTCCAAGTGGAGAGCCCGCGACCCTCCCCGCGACCAACTCGCGACCAACCCGCGACCCAAACCAAGTTCAGGGTACAAACCACATTTTTCGGCGCCTGCGGCGGGCATCTTTTGCATTCGCTCTAGGTGGAGAGTCCGCGGCCCACCCGCGACCACGTTCAGGGTACAAACCAATTTTTTCGGCGCCTGCGGCGGGCATCTTTTGCATTCGTTCCCGGTGGAGAATCCGCGGCCCACCCGCGACCCAAACCACGTTCAGTGTACAAACCAAATTTTTCGGCGCCTGCGGCGGGCTGCTTTTGCAGGAGGAGAGGAGGGAGGAGGGGAGGAGGAGGATGAGGAGGAGGAGGAGGAGCGGAGGAGAAGGAAGGGGGACGACGACGACGTCGACGACGACGACGAAAAGGAGGAGGGGGGAGGATCGGGAGGGGGGGAAGAGGAGGAGGACGACGAGGAGAAACATGACGACAATGGGAGGACGATGGCGGAAGGACGAGGGGGGATAGGGAGGACGAGGAAGAAGAAGAGGAGGAGGACGAGGTGGAGGAGGAGGACGACGATGACGATGAGGACGAGGACGAGGACGAGGAAGAGGAGGAGGAGGAGGAGGAGGCGGAGGAGGAGGGGGAGGAGGAGGAGGAGGAGAGCGCCATCGACAAGGAAGGTGGGGGCCACGAGGTCCGCCGGCTTGACGACGCCCGCGTCGCCCGCGCCCGCCCCCTCACTCTGATCCGCAATTGCGGGGTGCTACGTTGGGAAGATACATGAGCGGTGCCTTCTCACCTTGTCGCTTCGGATGTGCTTCTGAGGCCCCAATCTGGCCCCAAGATGGCCCAAGAGAGCCCCAAGAGGGACCCAAGAGGCCCTCAAAATTGCCCCAAGAGCGCTCCTGAGGGGAGGCGGGAATCGCCGACACGCCCCTTCTGTTGATCGACGCCTTACAAGACGGCACCACGAGAGGCCCCCAAGAGGGCCCGACGACACATCAAAAGAGCCCCACGAGGACTCCATGATAGCTCCAAGAGTTCTCGTCCTCGTTGTCCTCCTCCTCCTCCTCGTCTTCGTATCGTCGTCCTCGTCCTCGTCCCCATCTTCGTCTTCGTCTTCGTCGTTGTCGTCGTCGTCCTCCTCATCCTCCTCCTACTCATCGTCCTCATCCTCGTCCTTATCGTCCTCGTCCTCGTCCTCGTTCTTGCCCGGGTCGTCGTCATCCTCGTCTGCCTTCTCCACCTCCTCCTCCTCCTCCTCCTCCTCCTCGCTGTCCCCAGGAGGGTCCCGAGACAGCTCCAAGAAGACGCCAAGCGGGTACCTAGTGTGATCAGGGCTGCTCGCCTAACGATCGCTTCTGGATGGGCTGGTGGGGATACGCGACGCGTCAAGAGCACATACACAACATGTGTTGTCAGATGTTCGCATACTCGCGCTTTCGGTCTGAAGAGTGTCCAGGATGGCCCAAGAGGCCCCGAATCTCGTTCCAAGACGACCCCCAAGGCTCCCAAGAGGCCACCAAGAGGGCCCCCGAAGCGGCCAAAAATGAGGCCCCCAAACTGAGATTGAGATTCCGAGTTCTTCCCCCTAGGATGGCCCCTGAGACTACTGCTACGATGACCACACAGAAGTCCCCCAAGAGCCCATTGCCGGGAGGCCCGATGAGTCCTCCAAGAGGCCTCCCCCCTTCGAGCGTCCAAAGACCCAAGCACGATGGCGGGCTGGGCCGAAAGAGACTAGACAAGACGAAAGCGAGATGATAACAAGCCGGGTACGGATCACCCAGAACTCTCTCGAAGCCTGCAACGCTCCGAACCGCTCAGGGAGTGATCTAAACCGCTCTGAGAATACGAATTGGTGTCGCAAGGCTGCTTCTTCCTCCTCCTCCTCCTCCTCATTCAACGCCGTTCATCATTCAACGACCCCTGGACTCATGCGAGACAATCCATCGGCAATAAATTGGGGTCATTCGATCATTAGGCCGCTTCAGCCGGCCTCATCTCGACCACGGCTTACCCTGACCACTGACAGCATGCGCCGATCCTTCAGGATCGCCTCCACCATGATCATGCCCTCCTTGTGCGCTGCGAGGTTCAAGGACAAGGTGCTGATGGCCGTCTCGAGGCCACTCATGGCCTGAAATATCGGAGGTATGCAATGGCGGACAAAAACGCCGAGTGAAAGCAGGGGGCGCCACGTGGCCCGTCCACTCGGGAAACCGTTTGCGTCAGCCATGGGCTTGCACTTTTTCATGATGCGGCAGGACGTGCTGATACTATGCGCCCTCCGTGGAGGAGCACGTCAGAAGCGAAGACAGAATGCAGACATCCTGCAGTATACCGTTACCCAAGCGGTGTGGCCAGAAGACACCCGCAACCGACCAATGCTACAAGGTCTCTGAGCGCGCGCCCCGGGGGCCCGGCGCCCGCATGGTAGAACTGTGCCTGGGTGGTGCAGGTATGGGGGCCTCGATTCCAGGCGGTACAGTGGAGGCCTGTCCACAAGAAACCTGCCACCAGAAACCCAAGCCTGAGACCTAGGAACGTGCGCTGATTTTTCTATCTGGGCACGTCACGCCTTCCACAGCAACAACCTCGAAACCCAAGAAACCCAGGACACCCTGTAGGCAAGCAGGGTGTTTCTTGGTATGGGTCCCCACTGTGCGACCAGAAAGCGCCCACCACCGAGCAAACACCATGAGATGTCTCAGGGCACGCGCCGCCCTCCGGACGCACACACGATAGAAGCAGTACAACCAACCAACAAAAAGACACATCGGGCAGGGACGATGAAGACAATCGCTGTTTCTCGTCTGACCTGGGACGCTGGCTGCGGCTTTGCGGACGCCCGAAATGGGTTGGGAAGAACATGCACGATGCCCAGCAGCACACGCTGTACAGAACCGACAGCGGCCGCTGGTGGGCAGGCGACCTCCCCTCCTGTCTCAATCGACCTCATGTCTCAATCGAGCAGCGTCCGCAGCGACGCCGGCTGCGAATCCTGTTCAACATGATCAAATATTGCTGTCAATCTTCGTACCCATCCGTTCCGCACCCATTTCGGTCGTACCCACCTGGCGTCCTCCAAGACGACGACGAACCGGGAATATTGCTGCGATCGTCCACTTCCGAAGGAGGCGCTGCGCCAAGGCATTTCTAACTAGCCCGGTCGCATTCTGCTAGGGCGATGCCGCTCATGGTGCTTGCTGGCTGGGGACTTGACGCGTGCCGAGGCCGCTAGGTCACACTCTGTTCGGGCGATGCCGATCTTGGGGCTTGCTGGCTGGGGCCTCGACGCGTGCCGAGGCTGGCCGCAACCAAGGCTGCGGGGGCGCCCGAACCGAGGACGCGCGCACGGCGTGACCATCACTGGCTTCCGCACGGCACTGGGGAGTCCAAATATCCAGCGCGATGCTGAATACTTTGCAGTGGGCCCTTTGTTACCCATCGGTCTTGGGTGGTCGTCGGTGGTCTCCGGCGGTTTCCCAGAAGTCTTCCGCGCGAAAGCTGGAAGGCTGCGTTCAGCAAGGGATCCATGATCGAACCCGTAACATAATGGAGCGAAAGAAAACACCATATTGCAGCGAGCAACGTCATACTTGCCGTGGACGGGACCAACGGTCACATCACGCTTGGCAGCGGCCGATGCTACTATGTCGCGATGATCACATCAAGCCGACAACGACTGAGACGGGGCATATCTCGGTAAGATCTGGAGGATGCCAGCAGGGCCCGCGCTAATATAATGTTGCGAACATATGTTAACATACATGGAGATTCGGGGGACGGGGGCAAAGCTTACGAACAAGGTTGCAAGCCCGCGTATTGCACATCAAAGGCGCAAGCGTATCATGATGGTGCACAGAAGACTTCCATGCAGTTTGTGTAAACGGTGTAGTGTGTCTGCGGCACGTCGAACGTCAACGTCACAGGTTGTGCGAAACATGCACGCGCACGGCGGATCAAGATCGTATGTCTCGCACCGATAATACGCGACACGCGTATTCACAAACGCGATGCTTCAGGGAGCGCGATCCACAGTCGCTGGCCTGAAGATTCTCTACACTTGGGAGGTCAGAGAGAACGCGTTTCACGGGAGCTTGCCTGGGGAACATTCGGCGGCGCGTTTCGAACCGGGGGGTGCTCCCCCCCCAACACTCGGCGCCGTCGATGAAAACCAGGGGGACTCCCCTCCCCCCCAAACCCCCCCCCCTCCCGAACCCCCCCCTCCCTCACCTCCCTCCCAGGGGGGGGGGGGTTCAAAACCCTCCCCCCCCCCTCGGCGCTGGCGCCGGCGCTGGCGGACGCCAGCAGCGCCCACGGCAGGGACGCAGCGACGATGACCAGAGGCATCCCAGGGAGGGGGGGGGTTCACCCTCCCCCCTCCCTGGCGCCGGGGGGGTATTATTATTACTATTATTATTACTATTGTTATTATTATTGTTATTCTTATTATTGTTATTGTTATTATTATTATTATTATGAGGAGCCGTGTGCGCGCACATAAGCAAAATATGGTCTGCTACTGCGAGCGGCTGTACTCTCGAGCAGCATCCTTCCAAAATTCTGGTTTGATCTCTAATATGTCACTCCACTGCAACCCGCTCTGATTGCAGGTGGCTCAAGCGTTCTCGGTCCATGCACAACGCGGTCTGCCTCTCCTCCGCTTCTGGGGAGGGGGGCTCGGGATAACGGAAAATTGTTTTTTTAACTGCCCTGCGAACTGGGGGATCGTTGCTTCTGAGTGCAATTTCAGCAAAAAGAACAAGCTGCCGCTGCAACAAAAGGCTGCTCAATTTTACGCACCGTACCTGTTCAACCCCCCCCCATCGCGCCAGCGCCGGCGACGGCGGGGACGCAGCGACACTTACCACCACTACCACCACCTCCACTACCACCACTACCACCGCCTCAACCCCCCACCACCACCACCAACAGCACCACACAACCACCACCACCACCACCACCACAGCTACCACCACCACCACCACCACTACCACCACCACCACAATCTACCACACCACCACCACAATCTACAACACCACCACCACCACCGCCACAACCACCACCACTACCAGCAGCACAACCCACCGCCACCACCACAAACCACCACACCACCACCACCACCACCGCCACCAACACCACCACAACAAACGTCCACAAATCACCGCCACCACCACAACCCACCACCACCACCACCACAAACTACCACCACACCACCACCACCACACCACTACAACCACCACCACCACAATTCACATCACCACCACCACCACACAAGCCCACCACCACTACCACTACAATCTACCACAACACCACCACCACCGCCACAACCACCGCCACGAACGACAGCACAACCCATCACCACCACCACAAACCACCACACCACCACCACCACCACCACCGCCACCACCACCACCAGTACCACCTCAGCAAACCACCGCCACAACCACAACCCACCACCACCACCACAAACCACCACCACCAACCACCAAACCACCACCACCACCACTACAACCCACCACCACCACCACAAAACTACCACCACACCACCACCAAACCACCACCACCACCCACCGACGCAACCACCACCACAACAAACTACCACACCACCACCATCACAACCACCACCACCGCCACCACCAACACCACCACAACCCACCACCACCACCACCACCGTCGTCCTCGGCGACGCTCCCCGCCACCGCCGCCCGCCGCCGCAGGCGCCGGCGCCGCCCCAGAAATGGAGATCGTCGTCCCCGCCGCCGTCGCCGCCGCCGACGCAAGCGTCGGCCCGAGGAGACGGGAAGCAGGGAGGGGGGGAGGGGTCGAACCCCCCCCTCCATCCAGGGGTGGGGGGGGGATACGGTTTCACCCCCTCCCGTCCAAGCGATCACAGAACGCGCTCTTTCGGAGGTCAAAAACCAGGGAGCCCTCCCCTCCCCCCCAAAAAATCAAATAAATCCTCAAAGGGGGGGCTGAAACGAAAGGGCCCCGCCCCCGTAACTACCCCCCCCCTTTCCCCGCAGAAAATCAAGAGGTCCAGACGCACACGCCCCGGAAAAGGAATTCAGGGTCCAGTAATTACCCCCCCGTGCAACCCCCCCCGGCAACGATAGCGACGACGACGGCGACAGCGACGACCTCGGCGCCGCCAGCAACAACGCGGACGACGACGACGACAAAGACGACGACGAAGAAGACGACGCCGACGCCTATGAAAACGCCGGCGACGGCGACGTCAGCGGCGGCGCACCTGTCGATGGCGCCCGCGCCAAGCACCAGCTCTGATGAACTCTTGGGATCGACCCAGCCCTACTAGAGTCCTACTGGAGCTCGGTCCAGCTCTACTAGCACCCTGCTAGCTAGATAGATACAGCTCTACTACAATCTTCTTTAGGTTCGATCAAGCTCAAATGAAATCGTATACAACATCGGCCCAACTTTAATATAATCCTACAATGGCAAGATCCAGCTTTACCGGATCCAGCCTTTCTCGAACGGGGACGGCACGGAACGGGCGATGAGTAAGGTCCACGCGCGCGGTTACGTGCCCTGACGTGGCCGTTGCCAGGCCGGGGCCACGGCCGGGGCCGGAACACACCATACTGCCTAAGACGACTGCCAACACCCTCCGTCGCTTCCTCCTCCTCATCCTCTTCCTCCTCCTCCTCCTCCTCCCCCTCCTCTTCCCCCTCCTCCTTTCTTGCATTAGAGTAACACTAGGTGCGAGCCTCCCCCTCCTCCTCCTCCTCCTCCTCCTCCTCCTCCTCCTCCTCCTCCTCCTCCTCCTTTTTTCCCCCTCTTCTTCATCCTCTTCCTCCTGCTCCCATGCTCCTCCTGCCTCCTGCTCTTCCTGCTTCTCCTGCTCCTCCTGCCCTCCTGCCTCCCTCCTCCGCCTCCTCCTCCTTCTTCTCCTTCTCCTCCTCCTCCACCGTCCTCTTCTTCCTCCTGCTCCTCCTCCTCCTCCTCCTCCTCCTGCTCCTTCTCCTCCTCCTCCTCCTACTCCTCCTCCTCCTCCTCCTCCTCCTCCCGCCTCATCCCCTCCTCCTCCTCCTCCTCCTCCTCCTCCTCCTCCTCCTCCTCCTCCTCCTCCTCCTCCCGCCTCATCCTCTCTCCTGCTTTCGCGAGGTAGAGCTCCCAAATTATGAAACAGGGCAACGAATACGCACGGTGCGTCATGGGACGTCCAGGATCGACAGCACAGGCCAGAGGCCCTCTCCTCCTCCCTCCTCCTCCTCCTCCTCCTCCTCCTCCCGCCTCATCCTCTCTCCTGCTTTCGCGAGGTAGAGCTCCCAAATTATGAAACAGGGAAACGAATACGCACGGTGCGTCATGGGACGTCCTCCCGTTCCTCCTCCCATTCCTCCTCCTGCCCCTCCTCCTCCTCCTCCTCCTCCTCCTCCTCGTCGTCCTCCTGCTCCTCCTCGTCCTCCTCCTCCTCCTCCTTCCTGCCTCCTCCGTCCTCTCTCTCCCTCCTCCCTCCTCCCTCTCCCCCCTCCCTACTCCTCCCTGCTCCTCCCTCGTCCCACCTCGCTCACTCCTGTTCCTCCTGCTCCTCCCCCCCCTCCTCCTCCTCCTCCTCCTCCTCCTCCTCATCATCCCCTCCTCCCCCGCCCTCCCACGTCCTCCCTCCCTCCCCCTCCTCGCGCCTCCTGCTGCACCCCCCCCCCCCGGCCGCGGCCGCCCCCCCCCCAGGCCGCGGCCGGGGCTCGCAAAAGGGGTGCGGCCGCGTCGTTGTTACTCAGGTCGCCCTCCAACGCCGCGATCTTCGCCTTGCCGACGCGCCCGGCCGGCCCCACCCCAAACTCGGGCGCGTCCAAGAGGGGGATTCGCAAATCATGGCCCGAGGCCCGTGCACGGGCGAGGGGGGGACCAAGGGACGAGTTGAAAGAAGAGGCGGGCATCAAATCTAGGGAAACATCATGCCCCTGGCCATGATATCCACACACGCCTTGTCACCACCCCCGTCTTGGCCGCCCCCGATAGACAGTCTTGTTTCAATCCCCGCGTCTTTAGCCGATGCCCAGCCCCAAGCCGCAGGGGCCCTGGGCCAATCTCACCCCAAACTTCATAGTGTCGTGCAGTCGGACCTGGGCCAGAAGAACGCCCCTCAAGAACATGAGACCCTCCGTCGGCCAAAACACACAGAACGTCCAAGGGTACCCTCCCCAGGATGCAAAATAGCCTCCAACAAATACGAAGAACATTCGGGTACCCTCCCCGAACCGACCTCGATCTTGTACGTAGGTCCGACTGTCAAACGATCGCGACGGAAGATGTTCTATAATTCTCGGCCTCGGAGGGTCCTCGCCTGGCCTTGGGCACGTCACAGAACGGCTCGGGATGAGAAGCCAGCCTCCGTGGACGCCGCGTGGAACAAAGCAAAACGTCGATTGCCTGAGGCCACCACCGCCCCCAGGCATCCAGCGGACTGCCTTTGTCCAGTCCCGCGGTCTCTCGCTCGGTCGCGGCCAGGAGGGGGGCGTCAAAGAGGAGGGTTCGCAAATCATGGCCCGAGGCATGTGCGCGGACGAAGGGCGGACCAGGGGACGTGTTGACATAACAAGTGGGTGCCACTGATTATGGGGAGGCATTACGGCTCTGGCCACCATGATGCCGGCCCCCCTGACCGTCGGTCGGAAGAAGTGGGTAGAAATATGGAGTACGAAGGCGTTGGAAATAAATTGGGCTTCCGCCCATTCCCCTGAAGATGAGGGAAGAGGGACAACCGCTTTACTCCTGAAGTTGCAAAGCGCTTGAAGTAGATTGATCTGGATGTCCCCAAATACCTCCTTCCGTCGACAGGCGCGTAGTCATCCACCTCTTGGTTGGTCGTCCCCGATTCGCCAATCTCCGCCCCAAGGGGCCCGGGGCCCTCAGGAACGGATCTGGCACGGAGAGCTGCCCCCCCCTCCCCCCCTGGGGGGGCGTCCCTGGAGCACTGGGCCGCGGATTGAGAATCAGATCGTCGGATGTCTGGGCCTCCTCCCCTCACCCTGCTCCTCCTCCTCCTCCCTCCCTCCCTGTCTCCTCCCTCCCCGAGGCCCGAGCCGTGAGCAGTCGCAGCCGGCTTGCCCCCCTCGGCACACGCTCACATCCTGGCTCGGGCCCCGCGCGTCGCCCACCGAAGGCGGGTGGCCTCGCCAGGCCGTCGTGGTGGTGCGCGCCGCCTCCCTCGCCGCCGCCACCTCCGAGGCCGCTTCCCCTGCCGTATCCCCCCGCTCCTCCGGGCGCTGCACCGGGCGGTCCTGGGAAACTGGTTCTCCCGCCGTTGTCGCTGGCCCAGATTCTCGGCCTACACCACTTCCTGCCGTGCACAAGTCCACCTCTCGGCCAGACGTCTCCGTCCACTGCACAGAGTATTCCGCGGCATCTCGATCCTCCTCCTCCTGGACAGTTCGAATCGGTCCCGCTGTGGGCCGCACGGTCGAAGCGACGAGTTTGATCGGTCCTCTTCCTCTCCGTGAAACACGCATTGTGGGTCCTCGTCGCCTCCGCCGTCAGGCGAGATTTAACGCCTCGGAATCGCAAGTTCGGCTGAAGGCCTTCAGGGTGCTCAGCAAACCCCTCCTGCACCTCCACTCGCCGCTGGCTCTGGTTGCGATGAGGCTAGCGGATCCGTGCGCTCTGTCCTTGCTCGCACGCCCAGGCGGCCCCCACGCATGTCCCCCATGGGTCGCCCCCGTTCGCGCTCCAGGTCCCCTCGCAGGCCAATCGGCGACATCGCCGCGCAGCTTAGACGCATCGAGCCTAAGCAGAAGCGCGCCACATCGACCTCGCCGCCACGTGCTGTCTGCTCCCCGCGGAGCCCTGCAAGGGCGGAGGGCAACTTACTCTCTCCAGCCCGCAGTCCCCCCGAGCCTGCTCGGTGTTCGGACGGGTCGGATCGGCACTGGCTCCCGCAGAGCCAATACGACAACGTGCACGCGCTCTCCACCTCTCGCCCTGACAAGGACATCACTCCATGCCCATTTGGCCGCTCGTGCGGCGGTCCTCTCTTGCGAAGCGGCTGTTCAATACAGCGCTATGCCGCCAGAGGAGCGGCCGTCTCTGCCCTCCCGTTCGAGCTCGCACTCTGCTGCAGAGCCTCACCAGAAAAACCAAGCATGCCAAGACGACCTTTCTTCCGTTCGCCCGCATTCCTGCAGGACTTGTCGAAGACAAGTCTGGCCAGCGGTGCGCTCCAACAGCGGATTGTTTCCACTGCACTGTATGTACTTCTCCAAACGAGCCTCCGACTTGCGCCAACTCTGGCACCCGCTCCGAAGACGATTGGCGAGGGGGCAATCTCTGCAAAACCGGCGAAGGATGCTTGACTCAATACGCGTTGCCCCGCGAGCAAGACCTTTGGGCAGAGTAGTTCGAGTCTCAAGGTAAAGTCTCTTGGGCCTCCGCTCGCTCTGTACCTGTCCAGGTATTCGCCCTGCTGCATGGCCTTTCCCTGCCCCCTCGCTGTGGGTCGCCACTGTTCGCCTCTTCTAGTTGGCCAGCTACCCTACCCCTGCACGCTGCGGCACCATTCCTGTTCAGTGCCACGTCCTTCTCGCACTGTGCCTGCTGCCTCGGTGCTTGCAGGTCTCGTCAGCGCTGCCTTTGCCCTCGCGTCCTCGTCGTGGGTCGCCCCCGTTCGCCTCCCGCGCTCTCGGGCTCCTCTCGATCATCGGAATTGCTGTTGTTCTTCCTGTTGTGGCGAGCGCCTCCCCGTTGCCTCTCTGCCAGACTCTGCATTGCATTGGCGTCTCCCTGCTGGGGGGGTCCGTTCTCGCTTCTGTGATCTTCCGTTGCGGATTCGTTGTCAACAATGCTACAATGATATGCGTCTCTGTACCTACGTGTTGATGCCATCTTCTAGATGCACGTGCCAAGTCCTGCATTGTCAGGTTCAGGGCGAGCCGCGTCTTCGTCCTCTCTCTTGACGGCCCTCTGCGGCCGCTTCTTTGGTTGCACCATCAACACACTTTGCTGCACGTTGGGGGGTCCACTTGGGCGAACAGGACCGCGCTTTTGCCTCTCTGCCCTCCGTCGCCCCGTCCCCCCCGCTTCGCCTCTGCTGCCCTCCCCCCCGTCCTCCCTCGGCTTGGGTTGGCGCTCGCCCTGTCGGGCCTTCGAGCCTCCCTCGCCAATCGGGCTGCGGATTATCAGGAGCTTCTCTCTCGAACAGCTTGCGAGTGCGGCCCTGCTCAACTTCCCCTGTCGCGCTGTTTCTGCTGCCTGCCTTCGTCGCCAGCGCCCGCAAGCTTGTTGTCCGTTGTGCGCTCAGCGCACGTCGGCTTGCCCCTAGTGGGCTGGGTGGGCTGATGGCGCACGTGGTACTCGCGACACCCAGCCCACCCCTAACGTGCGAGAACATAGCGTGACGCTTCATCCGACGTTCGACGACGACGACCTCTCTTCTCCCTCCGCCCTCCCCCTCCACTTTCTCCTTTCTCCTCCTCTTGCTCTTCCTTCTCCTCCTCCTCCTCTTCCTGCCGATCTGTCCACAGCAGATGGGCCTCCGCGGCCTCCTTTGCCGACGTGAAGTCGGCGTCCAAGGTGGCCTTCTTCGCGGTGAACTCGGTGTGCAGATCCTCGATGGTCGAGATGATGCCGTCCGAATGGTACTTGTACTCCTGCCCTTCTCCCAACATGGTTTCGTGATGATCGGCCCCCAACCCCAGAAAAGACTGCCCCTGTTGGACATATTTTGTGACAACTCTCTGTCGTTATTGTATAAAGTATGAGCCACGTCTACATCGCAAAACAGAAGACCAATGTAAGGCCGCCGCGATGGCCGCGGCGACCTCCAAAACCCATCGGGAACTTTGATGCGGGGTCGGATATCACGCAACGGCAAGAGTAGATGGAGGAGGAGGCATACTCATGAACATTCGGAGGTCTATGCGGGTCTCTTGGATCAGCGCTGGTCCCCCGGAACCTCTATTTAGGCCGTCTTACCATCTTCGACAGAGGAGGAAGGATCATCATCCCCCTCATCCTGCTGCTCTCTCCTCCATCCTCCTTGTTGCCCCATTCCTCTTCCCCATCCTCCTACCATCTCCTTCGACGTAGCATGTTTGTTGTGACGCTGGCCCTCAAGAATCTCGACCCCTTTCCGAGGGCGTGCAATTCATCCTGGCTCGTTGTTTGACAATCCCGAAGCTAAAACAATTCCTCCAAACACTGAAACAATAGAACAACCAACCGTCACGATTTCTGTCGCGAAGTCCGAGTCTCAGGGCATTCCGCTCCCCCCTCCCCCCCAAAGCTTCCTCAATCGTCCGGCCTTCCTCCGTCGTCGTCCCTCCCCCATCGGCATTGGCCCTCCGGGCGGGAGGGCAGCGGCAGAAAGGTAGTTAGTTGAAGGATGAGAAAAGGCGGCGGTAGCGGGCAGGAGGGCGGGAAGGGAGACGTTTGTTGTTGTTCCCCACATCCAAAGTGGGGTTCTTGTTCCCCACATCCTAAGTGGGGTTCTTGTTTTCTCTGCACACCCTTCGCGCAGGATCTCCTCCTCCTCCTCCTCCCTCTCCTCTGCTCCTCTTTGCTTCCTCCTCCGCATCATCATCACCATCACCATCACTCCCCACTCATCATCATCATCACCATTAGCATCACCATCACCATCCAACGATCACTCACCATCATCGGCATCGAACGATCATCATCATCATCATCATCATCATCATCATCATCATCATCATCATCATCATCATCATCATCATCATCATCACTACTCGCTGACTTGAGGCCTGAATATGGAGGAAGTATCAGGCGGGAGCCTCGTCTGTGAGTGAATTGTGAGGAAATCTCAGGCGGGAGCCCCCTCCATATGGGGCCCGCACTTCATGTTCGAATCCGAGCGGGTCATCCGAAACGTGTAACTGTCGTCACTTTTGGGCTCTTGAGGCCTGAATATGTAGGAAGTCTCGAGCGGGAACTTCGTCTGTGAGTGAATTGCGAGGAAGTCTCAGGCGGGAGCCCCCTCCCTATGGGGCCCGCACTTCATGTTCGAATCCGAGCGGGTCATCCGAAACGTGTAACTGTCGTCACCTTTGGGTTCTTGAGGCCTACATATGAATGAATTGCGAAGAAGTCTCCGGCGGGAGCCCCCTCCCTATGGGGCCCGCAGATCATGTTGGTAATCCGAGCGGATCATCCGAGACGTGTAACTGTCGTCACTTTTGGGCTCTTGAGGCTTGAATATGGAGGAAGTATCAGGCGGGAGCCTCGTCTACTTTTGGGCTTTTGAGGCCTGAATATGGAGGACGTCTCGAGCGGGAGCCTCGCCTGTGAATGAATTGCGAGGAAGTCTCAGGCGGGAGCCTCCTCCCTATGGGGCCCGCACTTCAAGTATGAGTGAATTGCGAGGAAGTCTCAGGCGGGAGCCCCCTCCATATGGGGCCCGCAGATCACGTTGGTAATCCGAGCGGGTCATCCGAAACGTGTAACCGTCGTCACTTTTGGGCTTTTGAGGCCTGAATATGGAGGAAGTATTCGGCGGGAGCCTCGTTCACTTTTGGGCTCTTGAGGCCTGAATATGGAGGACGTCTCGAGCGGGAGCCTCGTCTGTGAGTGAATTGCGAGGAAGTCTCAGGCGGGAGCCTGCTCACTATGGGGCCCGCACTTCATGTTCGAATCCGAGCGGGTCATACGAAACGCGTAACTGTCCTCACTTTTTGGCTCTTGAGGCCTGAATATGAGTGACTTGCGAGGAAGTCTCAGGCGGGAGCCCCCTCCTTATGGGGCCCGCACTTCATGTTCGAATCCGAGCGGGTCATCCGAAACGTGTTACTGTCGTCACTTTTGGGCTCTTGAGGCCTGAATATGGAGGAAGTATCAGGCGGGAGCCTCGTCTGTGAGTGAATTGTGAGGAAGTCTCAGGCGGGAGCCCCCTCCCTATGGGGCCCGCGTTTCATGTTAGAATCCGAGCGGGTCATCCGCAACGTGAAACTGTCGTCACTTTTGGGCTCTTGAGACCTGAATATGAGTGAATTGCGAGGAAGTCTCAGGTGGGAGCCCCCTCCCTATGGGGCCCGCACTTCATGTTCGAATCCGAGCGGGTCATCCGAAACGTCTAACTGTCGTCACTTTTAGGCTTTTGAAGCCTGAATATGGAGGAAGTATCTGGCGGGAACCTCGTCTACTTTTGGGGTCTTGAAACCTGAATATGGAGGAAGTCTCGAGCGGCTTCATGCCCACGAAGCGCTTCGAGCCGGGGGACCCTCTGATCGCGTTCTTGGGATGCACGCGCGAGGGCAAGCGCTTCCCACCAGAGGTTTGGTCTGCCTGGGAGAAGACGTTGGCCTCTGACAACCACGGCGTCCTGGACCCACGGCGCCAGCACGAGAATTTCCGGCTCGGCTATGGCATGGGCATCTACTGGGAGACGCTGGCGAGGTGGATCAACACGCGCGCTCGTCGCGACGCGCGGCGCCTCGGCGTCCCCCTCGTCTTCCTGCGGGCCGTAGACGAGTGCGGCACGATTCAAGGCGACCCAGACGCAGGCCGGCGCCTCCTGAACGTCCCGAACATGCACAAGACGGGGGACATCCACGGCGTCTAACCGGCACACGTCGGCATGGAGGTCCGGTTCAAGGCCGCGCAGGAGGAGCTGAAGAAGAAGAAGTTGGGGCTCGTGCAGGAGCAACGGGCCACCATCGTGTCTTTCGAGTTTCCCGCAGACGACGAGCGGGACTACGAGGAGTGCGCGCCGGGCCAGCTCTTCCGCCCCCGCTACCTACCGCAGGGACTCTGGCGGCAGGTGCACGGATTCCAGGAGTCCCCGATCTACAAGGAGGTCGCCGAGGTGCTGCAGCAGGGCGCCGATGGCGCTGCCGACGACGGCGAGGCCGAAGCGCGGGCGCGGAGCTTGCTCATGTTCAGGCCCAGCGAGCAGGAGCTCGCGTGGCAAAGCTCGGGGGCGCACACTGTGCGCCGCTCGGGATTCACACTGACGCGCGCGTCCTACCTGACCTCCACGCTGTCGCAGGGCCAGACGCTGCGCAAGGGCGTCACCATCGACTGCGCCAGGGATGAGGACGCTGGCTGCACGGGCATGTCGGACGATATGTGGTGGCTGCACGTCTACGTCATGTTCTCCCGCGCCACATGCATGCGGAACATGCTGATCCTGCGGCCGCCCGCGCGAGAGTTCCTGGAGCGCGGGCCGCCGGCGTCCCTGCGGAAGGCGCTGGACGAGTTCGACAAGAGAGCGGTGGACTCCAGGGCTGAGGCGGAGCAGCTCGCGGCAGAGCTGGGCTTCATGCTGCCCCCCGCCTGAGCGCCGCGGCGCGCGCCTGCAGGCCCGCGGAATTGTCCCAACGGCTAGCTCCCACGCCCCAGCGGCCTGCGAGGTTGTCTCAACGGCCCAGCCCGAAGGTTTGCCCCGACGGTTTCGCGATCTAGCCGTCGGCAGACGCGCGCGCGCTGGCCGAGGCGGCGACGGCGCTGAGGAAAATAAAGTTGCTTGCCCCGACGAGGGAGAAGGGGAGGTGCACATGGAGAAAAGGCAGGGGGATGAGGAGGGAAGGGGCATGGGGGAGGCCGACGACGAGGAGGAGCGGCGAGAGAGGAGGAGGAGGAGGAGGAGGAGGAGGAGGAGGAGGAGGCGGAGGAGGAGAAAGAGGAGAAAGAGGAGGAGGAAGAGAAATATAAGGGGGAAGAGAGGGCAGTGCAGGGAGCGAGAGGAGAGGGTGTCCGCCAGGGGGAGGAGGAAAGGGCAAAGGGTAAGCTGAACAGATTCTCGTGCGGGGTCCTACCGTCGGAGTAGTTTTCTCTGCGCACGCCGCGCAGGATCTCACACCCCCCCTTCCTCTCTGTCTCTCTCTCACACGGACTCACCATCATCACCGTCATCATCACCATCAACCACCATCATCGTCATCACACGCACACACTCATCGTCATTACCATCATCACCGCCATCAACCACCATCACCGTCATCACTACTCATCATCATCATCATCCTCATCATCATCATCGTCACCATCACCACCATTCTATCACCCACTCACGCACTCAATTGCTCACTCATCCTCAGTAGGCTTCGATTCGGAAGCAGTGGTCCTCCGACGATAGGACCGTCACCTCTGTCAACATCATCGCCACCATCACCATCATCATCTCTCGATCACCCACTCACTGGTCATCATCATCATCATCAGCAGCATCATCATCAATCATCACTCATTCATCATCAGCACTCAATGACTCATCACTTCGTCATCAATCACTCCCTAGATTGAATATGGAGGAAGTATCAGGCGGGAGCCTCGTCGGTGAGTGAATTGCTAGGAAGTCTCAGGCGGGAGCCCCCTCCCTATGGGGCCCGCACCTCACGTTGGGAATCCGAGCGGGTCATCCGAAAACGCGTATCTGTGGTCACTTTTGGGCTCCTGGGGCCTGACTATGGAGGAAGTATCAGGCGGGAACCTCGTCTGTGAGTGAATTGTGAGGAACTCTCAGGCGGGAGCCCCCTCCCTATGGGGCCCGCGCTCCATGTTGGTAATCCGAGCGGGTCATCCGAAACGTGTAACTGTCGTCACTTTTGGGCTCCTGAGGCCTGAATATGGAGGAAATATCAAACGGGAACCTCGTCTGTGAGTGAATTGCGAGGGAGTCTCAGGCGGGAGCCCCCTCCCTATGGGGCCCGCACTTCATGTTGGTAATCCGAGCGGGTCATCCGAAACGTGTAACTGTCGTCACTCTTGGGCTCCTGAGGCCTGAATATGGAGGAAGTATCAGGCGGGAGCCTCGTCTGTGAGTGAATTGCGAGGAAGTCTCCGACGGGGGCCCCCTCCCTATGGGGCCCGCAGATCATGTTGCGAATCCGAGCGGGCCATCCTGAAACCTGTAACTGTCGCGTGACCTTCGCGCTTGCCACGGACGCAGTGACACGCATGACGCGCAGGAATCCACCTACAAGAGGCCGCATCACCACTTCGGGCGCGTCCCCATCGTGCTGCACCTCGGCGATTTCCTGCAGCTGAAGCCCACCGGCAGCATCGGCCTCCTAGCGGACCCCGACGAGCTCCTGGAAGACGACTCGTACAAGTACAAGGAGCCGCCGACGTTGGAGACTCAGCACGGCATCGACGTCTTCAAACACATCCCCTGCGTCTTCGAGCTGAAAGGCACGAAGCGCTTCGAGCCAGGGGACCCTCTGATCACGTTCGTGGGCTGCACGCGCGAGGGCAAGCGCTTCCCACCAGAGGTCTGGTCTGCCTGGGAGAAGACATTGGCCTCGGACAACCACGGCGTCCTGGACCCTCGGCACCAGCACGAGAACGTTCGGCTCGGCTACGGCATGGGCATCTACTGGGAGACGCTGGCGAGGTGGATCAACACGCGCGCCCGTCGCGACGCGCGGCGCCTCGGCGCCCCCCTCGTCTTCCTGCAGACCGTAGACGAGTGCGGCACGATTCAAGGCGACCCAGACGCAGGCCGGCGCCTCCTGAACGTTCCGAACATGCACAAAACCGGGGACATCCACGGCGTCTTACCGGCACACGTCGGCATGGAAGTCCGCTTCACGGCCGTGCAGGAGGAGCTGAAGAAGAAGTTTGGACTCGTGCAGGAGCAACGGGCCACCATCGTGTCCTTCGAGTTTCACGCAGACGACGAACGGGACTACGAGGAGTGCGCGCCGGGCCAGCTCTTCCGCCCCCGCTACCTACCGCAGGGACTCTGGCTGCAGGTGCACGGCTTCCAGGAGTCCCCGATCTACAAGGAGGCCGCCGAGGTGCTGCAGCAGCGCGCCGATGGCGCTGGCAACGACGGCGAGGCCGAGGCGCGGGCGAGGAGCTTGCTCATGTTCAGGCCCAGCGAGCAGGAGCTCACGTGGCAGAGCTCGGGGGCGCACACTGTGCGCCGCTCGGGGTTCACCCTGACGCATGCGTCCTACCTGACCTCCACGCTGTCGCAGGGCCAGACGCTGCGCAAGGGCGTCGCCATCGACTGCGCCAGGGATGAGGACGCTGGCCGCACGGGCGCGTCGGACGAGATGCGGTGGCTGCACCTCTACGTCATGTTTTCCCGCGCCACGTGCATGCGGAACACGCTGATCCTGCGGCCGCCCGCGCGAGAGTTCCTGGAGCGCGGGCCGCCGGCGTCCCTGCGGAACGCGCTACAGGAGTTTGACAGGAGAGCGGTGGGCTCCAGGGCTGAGGCGGAGCAGTTCGCGGCAGCGCTGGGCTTCGTGCTGCCACCCGCCTGGGCGCCGCGGCGCGCACCTGGAGGCCCGCGGGGTTGTCCCAGCGGCTGGCTCCCGCGCCCCTGCGGCCTGCGAGGTTGCCCCAACGGCCTGGCCCGAAGGGTTGCCCCGACGGCTTCGCGATCTAGCCGTCGGCAAACGCGCGCGTGCTGGCCGACGCGGCGACGGCGCCGAGGAAAATCGAATTGTTTGCCGCGACCAGGGGGAACGGGAGGTGCACATGGAGAAGAGGCAGGAGGATGAGGAGGGAAAGGGCATGGGGGAGGGCGACGACGAGGAGGTGGCGCGAGAGGAGGAGGAGGAAGAGGAGGAGGAGGAGAAGGAGGAGGAGGAGGAGAAGGAGGACGATAAATAAAAGGAGGAATAGAGGGCAGTGCAGAGGGCGAGAGGAGAGGGCGTCCGCCAGGGGGAGGAGGAAAGGGCAAAGGGTAAGCTAAACATATTTTCATGTGGGGTCCTGCCGTCGGAGTAATTGCCGTTGTTGTTGCTGCTGTTGTTGTTGCTGCTGCTGTTGTTGTTGCTGTTGTTATTGCTGCTGTTGTTGCTGCTGTTGTTGTTGTTGTGATTGTTGTTGTTGTCGTTGTCGGTGTCGCTGTCGTTGTTGTTGGTGTTGGTGTTGGTTTTGTTTGTGTTTTTGTTGTCGTTGTCGTTGTCGACGATGCTGTCGTTGTCGTTGTCGTTGTCGTTGTCGTTGTCACTGTTGTTGTTGCTGTTGTTGTTGTTGCTGTTATTGTTGTTGTTGTTTCTATTGTTGTTTGGCTTGGGCACTTTCGTTGTTCCGACGAGCGAGCGAGCGAGCGAGCGCGCGATGTCGGCCCGACGGGGACCGGCCCTACGAGGGCAGCGCGCGGGGGCCGGGGCCCTCAGGAGTAGGAGTCGGCAGTGGGAGCAAGAAGTCGGCGCTGGAGTCGGAGAGGCCGGAATTGGAGTCGTAGGGACGACCGAGCTGGGAGGAGCACGCAAAGTCTGAATCGAGGAGGTATGTCGCTTCCTTGTTCTTGCAAGCGAGCGGGGAAGGCAGGGAGGGGGGGGGGGGGGCGGGGGGGGCGAGGGGCGGCGAAGACCGACGCGCCCCCCTGGAAGCCTCGGGTGGCGACCCGGGGGGATCCCGGTCGAGAAGGGCCCTCGGGCCCGGAGACGCCCCCGCCCTGCCTCCCCGCCCTGGCCTGGGCCTGCTGGCGACGGGAGGACGCGGGGATGGGGGGGTGGGAGCACGGGAGGAGATGGGCGGAGGGCAACACATCTACATATATATATATATATATATATATATATATATATATATATGTATAGCTCGCGACGCCGTCGAGGCCATCATTCTTTTGGGACAGGAAAGGGCCGGGCGATGCGATGCAATCGCGCAACTGCAGATGAGACGGCGGGCGCGGGCACCAGCAGCAGCAGAGACCCACTTTGGTGGCCCCCACCCCTGACAGATCAGTTCAAAGTAGGCGAGGCGGGATGGCAATGGGAAAACTTTGAGCACAAATATGAGTACGTATGCAAGCCAATAACGTCTGTAGTGTTCTCGCCGGCAGAAAAACCGACCCTTTTCAATCGAAAATGGTCGGTTTCTGCGTTGCTCCCAGACGCCTGTACTTTACAAGGTTTCGTCCGGTTCCCCGTCTCCGCTCAGCATTCAGTTGTAAAAACTACCAGCTCGCGACGCCGTCGAGGCCATCATTCTTTTGGGACAGGAAAGGGCCAGGCGACGCGATGCAATCGTGCAACTGCAGATGAGACGGCGGGCGCGGGCACCAGCAGCAGCAGAGACCCACTTTGGTGGCCCCCACCCGATCCCGAAGGTTTGTCTGGCCGAAGGCCGCATTAACTAGTCATTTTCATGGCGAGCGAATGGAGGGCCTGCCCGGGCTGCAGAGAAAGGGACTGAACGATGCACTGGGCAGCGGCAGCGGCGAGCTGGGAGGGGTACTCAGCAGCGAGCGCGGCGCGCTTTCGACCCTGCTCGTCGCCCCCTTCAAGAACGAGGTGCCTGTTGCCAGCCCTACTGCAAAACCCTCGGCGACCAGAACATATCTTTTCGAGCAGCGGCGATGCGGCGGCACCCCGCGAACAGATGGTGGTGGCTTTTCTGTAGAAAGCGCGCCGTACTGGCACTGATGCAACACAGACTTGCGACAAGAGGGCGACTTACACAGACGAGCCAGCCCAGGGCCAGACCAAATGAGTGAGGTCTGTGGATTCTCGAAGTACACGGGCACTCGAGCTGCAATGCATGCGCGAATCACTTTGAGCGTAAAGCGGTACGTAGCGTTGCCAGCGCCCACCCTGGCCTGCTCATGGGCATTCAGATCAGGAAGACCGAGCGGGTGGAGCGCGGACCTCAGCGGCCGCCGGAGCGCCCTCGTCCAGCTCGTGCACGGCGTGCCGAGCCAAACGGCGCCCACCGCTCGGGACTGGATCCAGCCAAGGACGACGGTCTGGAATGTCGCCGCAACGTGGTCCTCCAGCGGGCTGCGGCTCCAGTCGAGCCCGAAGGCGGCGAAGCCCAGCGCCACCGTCGCACGAGCTATCGTGCCGGCGCCGCAGAACAGCTCCAGCACGGGCCGACGACGCAGCCGGCGCCCTGGGGCCGCCGCGCGCTGGAACTGCCGCCGCAGGTGCCGCCTGATGGCGTCCGGGCCGCCAGCCGCCGCGCCGGCGCCCGCGCCGCCAGTGGCCGTCACCGCGCCGCCGCCGGCCGCTTCCGCGCCCGCTGGGGGGCGACGGCCTGAGCTCCGAGCAGGCCGGCGGCCCCGGCCGGCACGCGGCCAGTCGCCAGCAGCGTGGAGAGGGAGCCCTCGACGAGCGCCATCAAATTGTCCTCGACGAAAGCCCCGAGCTCCAGGGCAGCTGGAGGGATCCAGGCGAGCTCGTCCAGCAGCTTTGTCTCCTTGGTGTGGCGGTTGAGACTCTTCGCGGACCGCCGTCGCCCGCGCCTCTGAATCTCTGGCAGAGACCTCCGTTGCGACAGCATGTCGCCCGAGGCTCCGCCGTGACGCAAGCTGTATAAGTGCGGTCGGAGGCGTTCCAGCGACAGCTCCCGGCAGGCGCTGTCGAAGAGCTTCGGCAGCTGCGCGATCGTCTCCCCCCGCAACGGCTGGTCGGGCAGGGTGCTGAGCTTCAAGGCCGCCAGCAGGGGGGCGAGCCAGCCCTCGCGGTCGAAGAGGATGCTCTCGTCGTTCACGCCCGTCTTGCCTGGGTCCTTGCCGCTCTCGTGCAGGAGCAGCCCGAAGTACTGGTAGAGCGTCCCCGCGGAGGCAGAAGGCGCTATCAAGTGGCGCCGGCGCAGCTTCGCCGCCTCCCCGGGCCTGAGGTAGCACGCAAACATGACGAGGATGCAGATGGCGAGCCGGGAGTGCCCGTCTCGCAGGAGGACGCCCGCGATGGCAAACACGACTCGCCGCGGCAGCGGGAGGCGCGTGCGGCCCGGCGCCCGCCGGGCCCAGGCTGCAGCCGCGCGGTGCGCCCTCGGCAGCTGCGTCGCCGCTCGCTTGTGGAGCGAGCCGAGAAAGTGGGCGACCGCCGCCAGGAGCACGTTCCCCATGTTCCCGCCGCCGCCGAGGAGGAACTCGCTGTCCATGTACTGCACGAGGACCGAGTCGAGGCTGGCATGGTCTGTCCAGTCCAGGCGGTGCCTTGCGCAGAAGCTCGCGAAGGCCGACAGCGCCCCCCGGTAGAGCTTCTCGGTCGAGGGCCGCACCGGCAGCCGCTCCAGCAGCGAGAGCCCCAGGACCGGCGCCGCAGCAGCTGCAAGCTCCTGCGCGCGGCGGGCTCGCTCGCCCCTCAGCGCCGACGCCGTCGGGGCCGCCTGCTTCCTCCCAGTCAGCGCGGCCCGGAGGAGGAGCGCCAGCAACCAGTGCAGCCGCGTGATCCAGCAGCCCCACGCCCGGCAGTGCCGGCGCCGGCCGACTGCCGGAGAACCAGCCAGCGCGCCCGCGACTGCGCCCGTCGGCGGGATTCGCCTCCGACGGGATCCACCTGACAGACAGGGTAGAGCCAGTGGCCACGGAGAGCGCGCAGATCTTGCGAAGGGTGCACTGGAGGTGCCTGCTGCGAGCCCGGCCCTTCCCGACCGACAGGACCAAGGGCAGGTTGTCGGAGAGGGCGAAGAACCGGGGCCCGAACGAAGACGTGGACCGTAACAGATGGCGATACCCAAGAACGAGAGCCTCCCCCTCCAAGGCCAAGATGTTGGCCTGACCGTCGACGAAGACCGCGGCGACCGAGCCCCAGGCCGACTCCCGAATGAAATGCGCGGGGACCTCCTCGAAGTCGACGGGCGGGCGAGGATCGAGCACCGAACGCCCCAGCTCGTCCTGCGCCCCCTTCCCCCCGGGATTGACGTTCGCGTTGTCCGAGCTGTCGAGCGAGGGGGGGTAGCCGAGGTCGGCGGCGGCGTCAGTCTCCTCCGACACTCCTACAGTGCGAGCTCTCGCCTGCGCTCCTCCCTCGACTTTAAACCTCCACTTTTTCAGCAACTCGGCCTGTGGCGCCCACGAGGTCCTTTGGGGCGCGGCGAGCAACGACACCCAGTCCCCACGGAGAGGCGTCTGCACACGCGACGCGCCCGTGCCAGGGGGCGCCCAGGTCGGCCGTGCAAAGGGGCAGCAGGTCGTGAATTAGCTGGAGCTCCTGTCGCGCCGCAGGCCACAGGGGCGCCGCCGTGGGCCCGGTGGCCTGAACGAATGCGTAGGTCGCCCCCAGCACGCACAGCATCTCTCGTCGAAGCAGAAGGGCCCACGTGATGTGGCCGGTGAGCACCCGCAACAGGAACCCGCTGATCAGCTGGCGGCGCAGGGCGCCGCGGATGGCCGCGCGGAGGCGCCAGATGTTGCGAGTCCGAAGGCTGAGCCAGCGCCCCTCGCGCAGCGACGGCCCCAGGAAGTCGCAGTCCTGGAAGGGCTCCTCGACGTCATGAACTGCGAGCCCATGCCGTTGGAGGTCGTCGGTGATAGCCTGCAGCTGCTCGCCCACGTGCTTTGGGGAGCCGCCAAGGACGAAGTAGTTGTCCACGTAGCCGGCGCCCACGACCGAGGATGGGTCGCCAGAGAGCTGGCAGCCGCTATGGCCGTCAAGGATCAGGTTCTCGGGCGAGAAGCCGGCTCGGCACAGGGATGTCTGCAGCACCGTCTGGCGCAGGTGCAGGGCCCAGCTGAAGCCCATCGGGGGCACCGCCACTTGCGGGGGCAGGAGGTCGTCACCCCCCGTGCCGGCCTCCACGCATCCGAAGGGCATCAAATACTTTGCAGGGATCGGAGGCAAGGTGAAGAACTCCTCCATCCCAGCAGGCACCTGCACGTGGTAGAAAGCGACGTCCAGGTCGGCGGAGCCGATGCTGAGGCGAACGTCGCCAGCCTCGAGGCGGCCCCAGGCCGAGGCAGACGGCAGCTGGGTCCTCGGGGCTTCGATGAACGAGCAGTTGGCCACCCGCGTGTCGAAGATGACCCTCAACTTCCCATTCTTGTTAGGTGCAAAAAAATATTCCCATGTTGCCCCGCCGCCCCCGGGCGGGAGACAAGGTGAGCATGTGGCGCTCAGCCGTCGCGCCCAGGAACTTGGCATACTCTGCGGGCGACTGAACGAGGGCGGGGTCAGTGTAGGGCCCGCGCGGACAAGCCTCAGCCCGAAGCTGACGCGCCTCCTCCGCATCTCGAAGCACATGGCACCTCCACTCCTGCAGCGCGGCGGCGCCCCGCTCTCCAAGCAGCCCAAGGAGCGGCGCTGGGGGCTGGGACACATCGGGCCATGAGACGAGGTCTGGCACGTAGGGAGTGGTGGGCCCGCTGCCGTCAGGGTGCAGCGCGGACCCAGCAAGGAGCTCCCGGAGGGCCCCGTTGGGGTCGGACACGTCGTCGCGGCACTCGTCCGGCTCGGGGCCGAGGGCGGCAGCGGTGTCCCAGATGTGACCGACGGCGCAGCGCTGCCCAGCTGTCGGAACGGCCGACTCGGGCGAGGACTTGTCGCCGTATAGGTAATTCAGTGCATGCATGGCAGCGCTGGCCCGGTCGAGCGCGTGCCCGAGGGCGTGGCCCGCCCGAGCGCGCCGCCGGGTGCGAGAGGGGCCAGGCGCCGCGTCGGCTGCTGTGAGCTGCGGCAGCAGGAAGAGGTTGCGCTGGCGACCGTCTTCACGCGAAGGGGGCCCGGCCTCGCCCGAAGCGCGGGCAGCGCTGTTGGCGCCCGCGGAGGCCTGGAGGAGCGAGGGCGGCGGCGGGCCAAGCCGACCGCCCTCCGGCAAGCTAGGCATCGCCGCCTGCGGCACCGGAGCCTCTGCCCCGCCGGCCGCCGCGGCCCCTGCCGCCCCCTCCGCGCCCGCCGCCAGGCTGGCCGCCGGCGAGGGCGCGCTCCTCGCGCGCCTTCCTCCGCTCCTTCGCAACTGCCATCTCTTTCTGCAACTCCGATGCGAGATAGTCGCGAAGGGCGGGGCAGACACACGCAGAGCCCGCGAGCTGCGACGTCCCCATCATGGCCGACCTGTCAGCAGCCGAGGCATCGTCTGGCTCAACGAGAAACCGGTACTTCTCTTCCTGCACCTGGATCGAGCGGGCGACGAGCTCGAGGTGGGCGAGGTTCGTGGCGTGTTCCTGGTCGTAGGTAATTGGCCGTCTCGAGGATGACGCAGCCCGTCTGGTGGATCTCCACTCCTGGATCGGCGGGGTCAAGGCCCGTCTCCGCCAGCCACCTCTGATGATGCGCCGTCGGCGTGCCGCTCCGCTGCGCCATGAACTCTGCCACCCACCGCAACGTGCGCGGCCCTCGCACGGGCCAGTCTGGCCAGGGGAGCTCGGTCATCCGGGTGACTGCGGTGCGGAAGTCCACATGACGGACCCCGCGCGCATCGACCACCACGCCGAAGATCCGGGCGTCGCCGCCAGGTCCAGCCACAGCCGGGGCCGCCGGGGCGCCCGCCGCGGGAGCTGCAGCCGCGGCCGCGGGCGCGCCGGGCGCTGCCAGGGCGGCGGGCGCGACGGGCGCGCCAGGGATGGCCGCCGCGGCCCCAGGCCCGGCTGGCGGGGCGCCCGCGCCGGCGGCAGGGGCGGCGGGCGCTGCCACGGGCACCAGGGCCGCTGGGGCGGCCGCCGCAACGGCCGGGCCGCCCGCAGGGCCGCCAAGGGCCGCCACCAGCCCCGCGAGGCCGCCGCCGCCGCCAGGGCCCCCAGCCGCCGCAGCCGCCGCGCCGCCAGCCGCAGGGGGTGCTGCGCCCACAGGAGCGCCGGCCCCCACGCGCCCGGCGAGGTTGACCACGATGGGCCCGACCGGCACCGCCCCCCTTCTCGCGTATGCTGCGGTTCGAGCTGCATCCACCGCGGCTTGCAACGGGATGTGCCTGAAGTCGTAGACGTCGTCGTTACCCATAGCCGGAGCAGCAGGCCCGATCGTGCCAAGCGGGAGCATCGTCCACTCTGCGATATTCGCCTGGTCGGCCACGTCCTCGTCGTACTCATCGAGGTCGGGAGTCATGATGCCCGCAACGGTGGCCCCGCCGGGCACGAGCGCCACTACCAGGCGGCGGTGCCAAAGGCGCCGGCCACCCACTCTGTATCGGACAGCCAGGAAGTCGCCCTCGGCCAAGCCCGCCGCGATGAGCTGGTGTGGAGCCGCCATGGCGTCAGGCCTGGCGGGCCGCGGCGCGGCGTGCTGCAACCTCCGCCAGCTGCGCGCGCGCCTCCTGCAGCAAGTCCGTTCGGGCGGACGAGGGGTCCGCGAGCTCGGCCAGGCCCGCTGCCCGTGCCGGCGCCGCTGCGGGGGCAGGCGCCAGCCAGCGCTGTGCCAGCAGCACCGCCGAGGCCCCGGCGACCGCGCCGAGGCCGATCAAGGAGAAGCAGGCCCAGGGCCCGGGACACTCCCAGCCCGTTTCCTGCCCGAACTCCCGCGGGAGCGCGCCCTCTGAGCAGGCAAGCGCAGGCGCGCAATTGCAGGTGCAGTCTGGACAGGGGACCGCCGAAGACCGCACGGCGAGGGCGGTTGAGATGCCCCGGGTAATCTCGAGGAGCAGAGCCTCCATGGGAGCCGGGGCCCCCACAAAACTTTGAGCACAAATATGAGTACGTATGCAAGCCAATGACGTCTGTAGTGTTCTCGCCGGCAGAAAAACCGACCCTTTTCAGTCGAAAATGGTCGGTTTCTGCGTTGCTCCCAGACGCCTGTACTTTACAAGGTCTCGTCCGGTTCCCCGTCTCCGCTCAGCATTCAGTTGTAAAAACTACCATCTATATATATATATATATATATATATATATACATACAAGATACAAGACTGCAGTGGCGCTTCGCGCCATGCACCTTGGTCCTTGAAGTTTGGCATGCAGGTGGAATAGCAGGAAGGTCAAGCCAAGCCGACAATTTAGCGATAGATCCTTGTTGCCTTTTCCGGCATCGCCGCTAAAATAATGTATTTCGTTATCTTTCCTCCATGCTTCTGTTTCCTCGTTTTCGCCATACCCTGCGCATTCTCCCCATCCTCCTCAGCTTTTTTGTTGCGGAGGGTCCTGGAGAGCCTCTGGGGGCCTCACAAAAATTGTTTCAGGCTTTCTTAAGGCCTTCTGGAGGCCTCCTGGGTGTATTCTGGGAGTCTCTGGGGGCTTCCTCGGGCCATCCTGCCTCCCTGAACGACCGGGTCACGATTTGGAATGCTTCGGAGGGTGTCTTGGGGCCATCTTGGGCCGCCATCTGGCTATCTGAGGGCCATCTTGGACCCGTGTTGTGCCGTCTCGGGGCTCTCTTGGATTGCCTGGAGGTCCTTTCGGATGGTTGTGGGTCGATTTTGAAGCCTCCCAGGCAGCTTCGGACGCCCAGAAGACCGCTGTCTTGGAGCGTCGGGAAGCCGAAAAGAGGAGAACCCCCAAATTCACTAAAAACCAATAGAGAATCAATGATTTTTGCCTCTTGGGGCCTTCTTGGGAGTGCTCTTGGAGGCCTCTTTGGGGCCGTCCTGGAGGCCTCTTGTGCCATCTTGAGGTCACGTCGGTCACTCTTGGAGCGCTCTTGTGCTGTCTTGGGGATCGCTGGGATGACCCCTCTGATCGCCCTAGGTGTGCTGGGAAGGCTTGACAAAACGCCCTGCGAGGCCCGGGGGGCCGCTTCCAGGCCCGTCCGGAGGGTCCCAAAGCCCTAGATCCCGAGAGTCCAGTTTTTTTTGGGGGGAGGGGTTTTCCCCCCGGCCGGGCTTGCAAAAATGTAGGAATATGTATGTGTATATATATATATATATATGTATATACACATATGCGTGTATCGATTTGCATCGACTCATATAGACATGTGCGTACACGCACGCAACATATCCGCCGATCCGGCGTGTGAGTTTCTGAGAGCGTGGACTTGAGCTCGCTCAAGCTTCGCTCTGCAAGGGGGGTGGAGGGGGCGCCATTCCCGACGCATTTAGTGCTCGGGGGCGGGGGGCCCACAAGCCCCCAAGAAGCCCCCGGGAGGCTCTGGAATGGGGGGCGGGGGGGGGGGCGCCATTCCCGACGCATTTAGTGCTCGGGGGCGGGGGGGGCCCCATGAGGCCCCCAGGAGGCCCCAGAAGGCCCCCAAGAGGCCCGAAAGAGGTCCCAAGAGGCCCCAAAACGACCCCCAAGAGGCTTCCTCAGGTCCTAGCTCAATCCCCTGAGCCTCACTCCTCAAGCCTAAGGATTCTTAGTGGGCCCGGACCCCAAGCTCTCAAATGTCTTGAGGCTCCCCGCGCGCACTCTGGGGCCCCCAAGGTGTTCCCGCATGACTTTTTCGATCCCAAGAGAGGCTCAAGACGGGCCAACAAGACCCCGAGAGGCCCTCAAGACGGCCCAAGAAAGCTCCGAGTCACCGAACGATCGGTCCAAGACGTCCAAGATGGCCCCATGCCCATTACCAAGATAAACATGATAATAATCATCATCATCATCACCATCATCATCATCATCATCATCATCATCATCATCATCATCATCATCATCATCATCATCATCATCATCATCATCATCATCATCATCATCATCATCATCATCATCATCATATCATCATCATCATCATCATCATCAGCATCATCATCATCATCATCATCATCACCATCACCATCACCATCATCATCATCATCATCATCATCAGCATCAGCATCGTCCTCACCATTAGCATCAGCATCATCCCCATCATCTTCATCATCATCAGCAGCATCAGCATCAGCATCAGCATCAGCATCAGCATCAGCATCATCACCATCACCATCAACATCAGCATCAGCATCAGCATCAGCATCAGCATCAGCATCAGCATCAGCATCATCATCATCATCATCATCATCATCATCATCATCATCATCATCATCATCATCATCCGGAGCGCCCCGGATCGGCGGCACTGGCCGGAGGCCAGCACAATATTTTTGCATCGGCTCAGAAAGACATGTGCGTGCACACACACACACACACACACACACACACGTATCATTACATCCGTACGGGAATCACGCGCGCGATTAGCGCGCTCGCGTTCTCGCGAAGGGCATGGGAGGCGTGACAACACATCAGGCGGCTCCTCCTCCCCTGCATGTTTCTCCTCTTTCCCCTGCTTGCCGCGGCTAATTCTGCGTTCCTCCTGCTGCCTGTCCTCCGTCTCCTACTCCTCTTGCTCCTCCCCCTCCCCACGTCCTTCACCCCCCCCCCGAACTCTGTCTCCTTCCTCCTCCGCCATCTGCTCCCTTTCTCCCCTCCTTCTCCTGTTCCTGCTCCTACTCCTCCCCTTCATCGTTCTCTTCCACCTCGTCTTCGTCGATATGAAAGGAAGGTGGGGGGCAGAGCGGATAGGAGGACCGGGACACTATGGAACTACATCGAACACAAACCTATCGGAGGTCCGCGCAAATGTCTTGGACAGCCCTTGCTCCGTATGGATCTCCGCAAGTGTAAGCTCATGCAACTATATCTAGGAAAACAGGGGAGCGGCAATGGAGGAGAGGAGGGAGACAGAGACCCGTGGAGCTTGAGTTGGAAATGTACCCAGGGCAGGTCAGAAAGGCTGGTTCTTAGCGTCAACATGAGTCAACATCCTCCTCCTCCTCCTCCTCCTCCTCCTCCTCCTCCTCCCCCGCCTCGGTCTGAGGAAATACGAAGGCAAAGCCAAGCTAAACAAAACGAGGGATTTGGCCCTTGGGGAGGCCAAACTGGTCAGGATTTGAGGGGCCACGCCGAGTGACCAACGACAACCACCTGGGCGGGTCACATCGGCAGATCCTCTTTTCGAGGGCACGAGCTCCCTCTCAATAGCGGCGGCCCGTTCAAAACATCCTGCTAGACAGGGCCGACGTGGTGCCGAGCACACTTGTTATCCCACACAGGGCTTGGGACATGTTTAGGGCAGCCTTGGGCCATCCCGTTCCACTCTAGGCCACTTTGGGACATCTTGGGAGCCAGCTGAAGCGAAATCCTATCCCCCAATCCTTGCTAACAAGGGGTCGCATGGCGATCCCGATCCTAGACTTTGTGTGAGAGTCGACTAGCCAACAAATTTGAGGCCTGATATGCGATGGGGGAGGCGTCCATTCTCGATAAGGGTACGTCCGAGCAGCCCTCCCGAGGTACAATATCCGCGAATTTCCAATTCTTTCTGAGCGTCCGTGCATTTGAAGAGAACTCGGGGAATTGGGGGCAAGGACTCGCGCGTGATTTCTCACTTTGACCCCAGCGTTTCAGGCCGACCAGGCCCACCAGCGATACCGAGCGCACATATCATGCCCGGAGCGCGCCTGGAACGTCAGGCATACCAGGTGCAAGCCAACGCCACGGGGCTCGCGAGGCACGCGAGGCTCTCAGCACAAGAGGCACGCGAGCAAAGAGAGAGAGAGAGAGAGAGAAACATCAAGGGACAACCATACGCATCATGCAAGAAAAACCCGTCGTGCGAGGCCACACGAAACTGGTGCTCGGCCAGTATCCTTCAACCGCGACAACTACGGGCTGGCGAAAGTGGATGACGGCTCACGCAGGCTGGGGAGACCCGCCACGACGACTTGAAAACAGCCCACCCCCCTCCTTTACTTTATAATATAGATTGCATTCCGCACTGCAGGACATGCCCTGAGATCCGACCTCGCCAAAAAATGTAACACTTCGAAAAATCACGACCGCAGCCCTAGACCCGATATTAATGCTGCATTTTTCAAGCCCGATCGAACTGTGATGGTCCTAGGACCCGGATCCGAAACCAGGCGAAACCGCATTGTGTGAGCAATTGCGACGCTCGGATCTGAGGGCCTATGTATGTGCAGTACACGCATAATTAAATTGCATCCCGAACTGCAAGACATGGACGCCATGTTTCCCGGACCCCCGTCCCCTCCGGGCTGGTGGGATCCACCTTGGCCTGCAAGAACGCCTCCGGCGCCAGGGTCGGGGGGGATTAGCTGGGCGCTCTCGACTCAGGCCGAAGCTCCCTCTCCCGCCCGGCCAATCTCGGGGCCCTCATAGGGGCTTCTTCTGGGAGAAACCGCGACCTACATCCTCGGTCCTCGGTCTGTCCGGTCCTCGACTTTCGGTCTGGTGTTTGACAATTTTCGGCCTCGAGGTGCCCTCACTGGGCACAACTCGGGATGCAAAACCGGGCCCGGGGGAAAGGGTTGGGACTTCCGAGGACCCCGAATTGAAGAAATCAAGGCATCGGATGCTTGGTCCTCGATCTTAGATGCTCAGACCTCGATATATGAGAGAACGACTTCTGTGCACGCTGCGCTGGTGCAAAATGCCCCCCTCTCTCACCCCTGGAACCAGGATCCCCACTCACCCCTCTCCAGAACATGGAAGGTTTTCGACCCCCCCCAACCGATTCGACCACTTCCTCTGGTGTAGCGTCTCGCCACGGATCCAACTTCAATGGCAAGACTACTTTCTACACATGCGATGCGATGTCTCGGAAAACCCGACGCTTTCCCCAAGGCCGTTGTTTCGTCACGAAATTGTTGACGGTCATGGGGCCTGGCGAAGGCCTCCAAAGGCCGAAAACTGGCAAAACCTACAGGCGCGATTTTCCACAGCGCGAGCAGATCTGCATCAACATCGAGTCTGGCGATCGGGTACGTGCGACGGATCGGCCGCGCCAAGATGCACAAGCAACGGCAGCATGCAAGAAAAGTGGAGCACCTGATCGTCGGAATATCCGAACAGAATCGGTTCGGATGGGGCTGGCCGAGAATGATATTGAATCAATCGGACTGAAGTGAGCTACGAACAGAAAAGGGTCTCACGCGAGAAGACACTGCGACCTTACGCCGCGGCTTACGCGGGTCGCCAGCGTGGCTCACCGCGTGAACAAGAGGGTGCTCACAACGGGAAATTTCCGCGCGAATGTCCGCGGCGCATTCGATCCCCTTTGTTCCGTCGCAAATGGACTCTGAAAGGGGGGCAGCAGAGACCCATATCTCCAGTGTATAAACGACCGGATGTTTCGTTCGAAGTTCTAGGCACATCCTCACGAGAGCAAGCATCCAGGACATTCCACCTGGCTCGGGGCGCACGAGACCTGACATATATTACGAAGAGGCACGACGAGGAGAACGAGAGCAAAAGTTGGTAGCCACATGTTCGAACAAAAATCAGCTTAAAGGATGGGTGGGGTCTCCGTACTGTACGCACGTGCCGATGCAGTTTACATGATATGCGCACTACGCACCAAATATTCGTAACCATCAACACAACATGCCATCGTAGCCGCGCCTGCCGCACCGCAGACAGAGCCACACCGGTCTCCGTTCACGCACGAGACATCTGCATTTCCAGGCCAGACTACCCTGCTGCACGTCGTCTCGCGGCCAGCCGCTCTTTCAGTACCCCCTGCCCCCTTTCCCTCCTCCCATCCTCCTAACTTTTGAGCTCCAGCTCGAGCCTGAAATGCGAAAACTCGGTGCACATTGCATACCCGTCGGGCATTCCCATGATTGACACCGCATGTGTTCTGCACACGGCGTGGAATCGGGCAATTTGTTAAACTATCCGCAGTTCTTGCCCAGGCGGCCGTCGTGATAGCAGCCCGAGATCGGGTCCTGGTCGCGATTGCGGTTCCAGGGTCGAACCGCCCCACTGCGAAACTCGTGTTGTTCCTTTTGCCCTGGTTTCTTTTTTTCCGCAGCGATTGTCGGTTTACCTACCTCGCTTTGCGAAGCTGGGTTGGCCGCGTGGTGGCGCGCTCGATTTGCGAACCTCGTTGCCTTCGGTTCGTGACCACGCGGGGCGGGAGGGGAGATATCCTCCACGCCTCTCCGCTGCTGCTGGCGCCTGGGTGGCTGGGGGGGGGCAAACAAAAATTCGCTGGCCCAGCGGACCAGAAGCGTGCTCAGATCTCCGGTAACTAGTTAACAATAGTTCTAGTTCGCGTGCGGGGCGGCCCCTGGGGGAGTCTGAAATGACTCTGGTAGGTCATATTGCATCCAATTCCATGTCGAAGGAATACGATTTGGGGTGTGGATGAGCAAGATAGGATAAGATCGATGTAGTGATCTTTCCAGCACATAGCGAATACCAAGTCAGGCATCCGGGCAAATAGGGCGCGCGTGCCTTGAGCCGTAAGGCAGCGACGCGCAGGCTACACTCCCGATTATCTGTAACATCTCCCAAAGAGCTACCCTTAAAGTCGGGAGGGGAGGAGACGGAGAGTAAAGCCGCGCGGTCGCTAGGCCCTCGACAAGCGCGCACCTGTTTGCACGGAAAACAGTGCACGCAGTCCGGTCAACCACCAGACTGAAGGGCGAGATTGTTCGCCGGCGAGTTTCCTCGCAAAACTTTTCCACGCACGCACAGGACAGCCCCTCGGATAGGGCTATCGGCCCGGCTAGAGGTGAGCCAAACAAGCTATTCCTCTCCGGGCAAAAGGGTATTAAGGCAAAGAGCCTGAACCAACCTGAACAGGCTCGTTGCCAAGCGTGAAAAGTATGGCTCGTTTCCGAGCAGGAAAGAGGGCGCCTCCGCATTAGGCGCCCGCGCTGGCAAACTGGACCGCAGGGGCAACAAGGTCAGACTAAAACTGATTCGACTTAGGTTTGGTCTTGTCCTCGGGGCCCCGAAAGGGAACAAACTGCTCGCGTCATACTGAAATGACTGGGTGCCTGACATCACTTCCAGAAGCAGCTCCCGATCGATACTCCCCTTTGTATGCCCGTCTGCGGTCATGTATCTAGTGTCACACCACTGTACGTTATGCACTATACCTATATCCATGAGCTCACGTATTCAGCTGATATGTCCCAGCAAAGTACGTTCCGTCGGTATTTTGAAGTCTTTGCTGGATAACGATGTGTGAACAGACTCAGCGACTATAGTAAGGGATAGTTTGATAGCTAGGCCTCCAACTTCACGCATATCTCGTAGTTGTCGCGGGGTAAGTGCTCCAGCCTTGAGCTCGTGGAGAGTGACGAACGTGGGATAGCATTCATCAAGATTATGTGCAGCTGCAAGTGCCTCATCGGCATAGCTGGATCTCACCTGCAGCCGGTGTGACTTGCATAGTCCGTCGCAAAGGTGAACGACGGATTTGCCTTGGGGCGACTTTCCTCGCCGTAGTACGCTAGCCCCACGAATGCCGTAGCCCTTGGTTTCATCGTCCTCCTCCCCGGTGAGTTTCCGATACCCCGAATCACTACGTATGTCTACTTCATTCGTCGGTTCCATCCGAGGGAAGGTGATGCGTTTCGGGCTGCTGATCGGCTTTCGCGTCACAGCATTCAGTCGTCTGACTTGTAAGCTGGTGGGCTCTTGGATCTTCTGGAGAGATACCACATGCACCATGAGCCAGACTTGAGCAAGAAGGGCATAGGCGAGAGCTCCTCGCAGGCTAACGAACATGTCGGTGATGAGTTTGGTAGCCTTGGCGTCTGCCGCTGCTCCCGTAAGCTCAGGATGTGTGATCGGACGTAGTTGTTCAATATATTCGTCCTGGTCCATGATCGCATCCCCCTGTTCATTCTTCGCGTAGCGAACGGCGCAGTTGGTGCGCGAATGTTTGTTGAACTTAATTTACCAAACACCTTTTCGACACGTTGTACATAGTCGTCTACGTTTTTCTCTAGGCCTGTCATATTCACGTCGTCGACATGTTTTGCTGTTCACAGATCCTGACTGAATTCAAATTCAGGATCGTAGCTTGTAAGGCCTATAGCTCGAGTAGTCGTGCGAAGCTTGAGGGAGAACGCTCTTGGGGCGTCCTTTGTACCAGTTCCTGGCTTGAGGCACCTGAGGCAGTGTCGGTTTTCATCATAAGAAGAGAAGCCTGGTAGGGTGCGAAGCACCTGGGCACTTCCTGGTGGAAGGGTGAAGCAAACCATGCGAGTCTCCTCGCCGGTGGCATGAGCAAGTTCCTCGTATGTCAGTCCTTTGAGGAACGCTTTGTCGATGCCCATAGATGCTAAGATCCACTCTGGATGACATGCAACTTCGCTTGCCAGAAGCCTCTGGGACTGTCGGCGGGCAGTTCCCGAGAAGGTTTCTACATCGAAAGCCTCCGTGCCCATGAATCCGCGGTGGACAAGTCTAAGACGGATGGTCTCAACATTCTCGGTGCCTGCTTTCACAAACTTCCACTTACATACATATCTGGATGTCATGATGTTGGGAGCTTTTGACAGGTCATGCATATCAAATCATCGGTTGCCAAGCCTGATCTTGAGTTCGGTGTACAAGGCTTCACTAACCTCTTTAGGATGTGCTGCTATGTCGGCTTTGGTGAGTAGGTCGTCTTCCTTGACTACCACAGCACGTTTAGCAGCCGATGATACGTATACTCTCATCGTTGCGACCATGTTTGGTTCGAGCTGTGCGAGTTGGGCCTGATCCAGCACGACCTTTGAAATTTCTGGCGTCAAACATAGCTCGACATATGGACCATGTTCATCACTGTCAAGAGAATAGCCCTCGTCAGGTGTAGTCGAGCATCAAGAGACAAGACAAGGCTCCTGTTGTTCAGGCTCGTCTCCGAGCATCTCCGACACAACGGTATCTTCCTCGTCCACTGATGCTGAGACCAAGACACATTGGTCGGGCAGCATGGTTGTTGGGACGCAGTAGAGATAGTCGTCGATAACCGTTGCGGGATGAAGGTCCACACGCAACTCATCGTACCACTCCTCCATCATCATAACCTCGATGTCGCGTTCCTCGCTTTCCTCGTAGGTAGTAGACAGGCGACCTTCACTCGGTGATGAAGCACCTGGGGTGTCTGGAAGAGGCCTGTCTGCAGGCTGGTCAGGTCCTTCAGGCGGTGTGTCCAAGTGTTGATACTTGGCAAGGTCGTCATGGAATCCTAGGGAAGGAACTTGTGACGTCAGGCAATGAGTCTGGAGTGAGTGCTACCATGATTTGAGAGATGTGCAGGCCGGTGCCTACACACTCAAA